TGAAAACCCATTCATAGTCTTACCGAAAAGTTTTGGGGAAGCAAAAACCATTTATGGGTTTTTGGACGTGTAACTAACAAAAGAGAAATATTGGCAAGCCAGTGTCTCATTTACATATCATGCGCCATACTTTTTTTTAACTCATTCATAGTGGAGACATGTCATTGAATAAGTTTCGATATTAAAAATAAATATATTAAAAAAAAATAGAATTCTTTGATTGTGAAGGAGCGGAAACTGGCTCCTTCCTGGCCATCAATGGGGTCTGTCTTGAGGAACTGTGCTTTTCTCTTTCACTTCTATTCATCTCGGTGTCGGATGCAGTGTCGCCTCATGTTCCCATTTCACGCGATTGTATATTTAGAATTGTGCCGTCAGCGCAACTCCGGCAGTCTATTTTGGGATTTCTGTTTGAAAGATGATTTCAATCACTCACCCAAAACGAGGTGCAGGAAAAAAAGTGATTTGTGTACTCACTAATATTTTGTTTCATCAAGTTGTGACCTTGTATTGTTTTTTTTAAAAATTCCACCATACGTGTGTTTATGAACAGGTATTTTACAATAAATGCATTAATTACCCAAACAGGATTGTTACTTGTAAAAACCAAGACAATCTACTGTAGGCCTACAGTGTATGTAAGACGTACCAGGGTATTACATTTGTATGTTCAGGATATTATGAACAAAACATCGACAAAATTTTTGTTGCAAAATTTCTGTCTAAGTTATGAACGTTACATGTACATGTATAAATGTCAAAAAGACCACGAAAAGTGTGTTTATTTTGGCTTCATTGTACATGTAGCAATGCTAAATGGGTTATGAATATAAATGCGGCAACACTAAGGACGTAAATTATAATGTGCATGAATTAACCCATCAATTTATAGCAACCATTCTGTCCATGTTTACTTACAATTTATGTAATGATTTACAATGACCCAGCTGTAAATTTTGAAGAACTCAGACAGTCCTCTACAGGGTGGTGCAAAAAGAAGGAAACCCACTTTTGACAGGAATTGTAACCTACCGGTACCGGTACGGTACGGTACGGTTTTTTTAAATAAATGTAGGGAACTATAGCTCTTCAACCATACATGGTGAACAAATCTTGTGAAATATCGCAAGAATAGTGTTATTATGCTAGTTTGAATACAAGTCACCAAAATCATTGTTGTCCACGTGTAAGTCTAGTGTAGTGTTTTTTTGTCTTTAAATCAAGCTCCGGAGCTCAGTCAAGGAGATGGAATACATGTAAAGCTGTCCGTGGACAAACAGGTTTGGCACATGAAATTGTTAAACTACAATATACATGTATATCTCGGAGACAAAACATGTATTTGCAATCATTTTTTCGTCATTTCTGTTTAAGATCAATATTTCAATACCACTAAATTGAATTTTTGAAATATGCTCAACAAGTAGGTGAGAACTGCTGTCAAAAGTGGGTTTCCATCTTTTTGCACCACCCTGTATATTTTTTGTATGCATGATCATTAAGGCCTCAGGAATGTACAATGTACATGTATGTACCAGTACATGTACAGGGAGAAACTTAACCAAATATCTTGCTTTGTTGTATCCTCCAATGTCCCACTCTCAAATCCCGAATTTGCAGTCAATTTTATCCCGTAGTACATACTTGTACTGATTTGTAGGGTCTAGAAATAGGAGAAAAATGATCACGTGAATGTTTCAATGTACATTTTGTGGGTACTACTTACGTAGTTTGCTAGTCCAGAGTGAAACAATTATGACAGTTCACTGACCCTTGCCACCAGCCCGTCATTGCCGCTACGTACGTCATCACTTATACGGCTCTCGTTTCATGACGCCGTCAACCTGCCATGATTCATCAAAATTGGCCCCTAATATTCATGTATTCAGATAATGACCATTCCATGGCTATTATTGAATATAGATTTTCACCTTTTTTCTTCTCTGTCCCATGTTTAAGTGTCGTGCATACGTGTTTAATGATACTTGAATTTCATTCGCTGGACGAGTAAACGTTTTCAATTTGAAGTGGCCATACCCTGGTCTACATTTGTACACAGTGCATGGGGTGGACCAAGAGTAGGCTATATTAATGTTTTTATATAATGTTTGCTTTTCGTCATGTATTCCTTCTGGAAATACTCCTTGAAACTTGAAAATGAATGCGACTGCTGCAAACTGCTTTCTGACTGGATTGACCAGAAATATACAAATCTGAAAAAATTAGGGCGTCCTGATGTAGCGATCTTAACAAGATCTTCTTCAGAGGCAAAATGACTGAGGTACAAGAAACAAACATGTTCAAACTATCAGTATCAGTTTTCTACTGCTCAATTTAAATGTACCGGTACATGACACATATTTATTGCAGAATTTATTTTTGGTAACAACACATTCTTCTTCATTCATTCATTCCTTCATTTTCATGATGACTTGATGAGTTGGGCCCAACTGTCCCTGTCGAGCATAGTGTTGGAAAGAGATGGACCACTTGCTACATTACATGTAGCAGGTTTTGGATCATTACAAGTAGCAAGGGGGTGTTACTGCTTATAAATGTGTTTTGACAATATGGACTCCGTGCACAAACAGTAGAGGGCGCTTTGTAACCACTTTCAAAAGTCGGCCCCAGTGGGAGGTCACACCACATGCACACACTGGTTCACTAATACTCATGGCACAAGGAATGCACAACAAACTTAATTAATCAGAAATACAAACTAGTGCGTCTTCGCATAAGGCAGGCGCTGTCAGCAATGTGCTCGAATGCCCCGCCCAGTGGTCTCCCCAAACTCGCCATTTTTAACCGTTGAGGGGGTGCTTGTAAATGGAGCCAGTAACAGTAATATATCCAATATGTCGAATATTTTGGAGGTTTTCTGTGGCTCTGTGACTATGTAGTTTTGGGTGTTGGGGAATAGGAGGGGGAAAGGACTACTAAAGGCTACTAAATTTCCACAGTCCAGCAACAGGGTTACATTATTTTAATGGATGTGGGAGTATGGGCTCCGTATGCGAATAAGAGAGGGGCTTTTTTTGGTTACTTTTGAGAGCCCCATGGATGGAACGCACCGCGTGTACGTACTGGCTCCTATGCCGCGTATAGCACAAAATATGCATGACGTACATGTATTATATTCAGAATGTGCACAAAGCCATAGCGTCTTTGTTTGAGCATCAGGTGTCATCGGCATGCATTGGAATGTCTTTTGCAGTGGTGGTCTCGCCCCCCCCCCCCCCCACCCCCAGCTGTCTCCCCCAACTCTTCCTTTTTTACAGTTGGAGGTACTTGTGCACAGAGCCCATATTTGTACGGTACATGTACCGGTACATGTATACACTATTGTACATGTATATATCAATTTTATTTGCGTTAAGGGTTAGACTTAATTGCGAATTTTGGAAATGAATGATAACATGCCTGTACATGTAGAAACTACCAGAAAAAAGAAAAGAAAAAAAAGACTGTTTGCAGAACAATTTTGTTCTTGTGTATCTTTAACCTCTGGAAATTGATTTTTGTTTTTAAAGCCTTTTGTTAGTTTGGCACATGACCATTCCAAACAAAATTGTCTGCTTTGTGGTTCCTTGAAATCGGGCCCTGTAGTATGTACCATAACCATGCCAGCATTCTTAGGATCAACATCAGAGTGAAGACTGTAACTTTTTATCGATCGGGTGGAATACGACGTCAAATCATTCAAATTTGACCTAATCAATTTCCCTTCATTTATTGAATGAAAAGTTCTGAGCCTTTCAGCATATATCCAATCTATCAAGCAAATGAAAAAGAAAAAAAGAGAAACGCAGATAAGTTTGTTTATCACGTAATTTCAGAAGTAATTTTTCATGCTAGTTCTACACCAATCATTGACATTTTCTCCCGCCGTGTCTTATAAATATTTACCGCCCCAAAAAGGATGGGAAAATGCAAAGAATGTATATATTTACAAAGTTGGAATAATCAGGGACTTTATGACGTACATTGTAAATTAAATACCGCGGGCAGGAATGGCTGCCAAGACAAGAACAAGATAAATGTATGTTTAGCGATTCAATTGTATGCGGTGCAAATTGTATGTGTGGATATGTTGCAGTTCTGAATTTAATTCACAACAAAGTCAACAAAAGATTGTTGATTGAAGCGTTTTCATTTGTTGTCCAATTACATACATGTTGAATAAATAACCAGGGATACATTGAAACATATGTCCTGTCCTGTGTGGAATTAGGACCTACAAAATTGTTTACTTTTTGAAGCAAGTCTTTATACATGTATATTTGTCTTACGAGTTCCAATCAATATTTTTTTCATGATCGATACTGGCAAATTGCATACATATATGAAGTAAATATTAGGTCCTTTAATTAATGGAGTTTATGGACCAGTCCTTGGACCTGCCCGTATTTTCCCCATAATACATTTATCGATATCTGAAGTATTTTTTTGTCATAGTTTGCGTTAACTACATTTGTACATGTAGCATCATTGACGTAATTATGTCAATGAAACGTTAGACAAAGGGCTGTTTTTTTTTAATTTTAAAATATGAGAGAACAGCGCACATGTACATAACTGTATAACCTGAGGTTTGCCTCCATCTTGAAATTTTTCGATAGAATAATTTGATAAAGATATGTTAAGAGAGTCCTGATTTATTGTTCACAGATAATCTTAAAGACTTTAGTTTGCCCTGCTGTTAGACTTTTCAAAATCCTCAAGAATTAGGATGTTTAAGGGCAGTTATTTCATATTGAAATATATCATTTAATCCTACACATAATTGTTGTTCTAAGTAAATATTTGTCGTGACTTTGCTTGCCAGCATCTTTAAAAAGAAGTTTTGGACTTTTTCTGTTGTCAGTTTGTAAGGAAAAAAATCGTTGCCGAAAAGCGGCAAATAAGGGGTGGATAACCATGATCAGTTGAGCGGTGGCTTTTTAGAGTTTGAATTTATGTTTATCTCTAGTTTTTTTCTTTCTTTCTATTTTGCACTTCAGGGTGGTGAAGGTATCTTCGACCCACAGACAGAAGCAGATAGGAGAGCGCAACACTGCATTGTGGCATCACTGATGACAAGATTCCCAGGAATTACAGTCATTGGAGAAGAGGTAAAAAGAAAAAAAGAAAGAAAAGCAAACACAGAAAAAATAAAAAAAATACATACACTTGGGAAAGGAATTCCTTGAATACTCCAAGAGATGTATGGTATCGATGACATCCAGAGAATCCTTAAAGCCTCAAATCCTAATTCATCATTAGTTTCCTAAAAATCCAGAAGTCATTTTTTTGTCTGAAAAAGTGCAACATTTGCGTCATTTTGTAACCCTTGGAACTTTAACTATTGTTCACTGTTGTGCTAGTCCCTACTGAAGGAAGGTTCACAAACATCCACAGGGCTGCATATTTGCCTACATGAAGGTAGTCCAAATAAGGCTGTGCCCAAGCAGGCATTCAGGAGTAAGGCTTTGACTATGGTCAGCTTGTTCCCACACAATTGTTGAGAACCTAGACGATGGACACTGTTCACAGAAGATGGTACATTCTAGAGCCCCATTGTGAGGCACACACCGCATGTGCGAACTAGTTTCCGCACGAATGTCACGAAGTACGCATGACTAATTTCATTCCGGATCTGCACAAACCGGTAATATCTTTGAGCGAGCATCAGGCCCCGTCAGCAATGCGTTCGAATGTCCCTCCCAGTGGTCTCCCCCAACTCTCCATTTGTAACTGTTGAGGGGGTACTTGTGCACAGAATATATAGCTCAAAATTCGGACACAACCTGTATGCGTAGCTGCCTTTTCGTGGTGTTTTAAAACTTTTTTTCTCATTTTGTTCAGGAATTGGAGAAGGAAAAGATGGAAGATAGACAGGTTGAGATGGGAGATTCCCAGGAGGTTCTGGCTGTAGAGTGTCCCCCACAGTACCAAGATGTTGACCTCAAAGATGTAAGGTTGTAGTCCTTAAGGCTGTAAGCTTGTACCCCTAAACTGCATTCATTTATCTTTAGCAGAATCCGAAAGTACCCCAATAAATTGTAAGCAGGTTAGGAAATCTCGTTTAGCTTTATTCTTTATATTGTTGGAGTGTGGCCTAGTGGTTACGACTTGTGACTCGTGATCAGAGGGTCAGGGTTCAAATTGTGCCACTGGCCATATGTGGTGTCCTTGGGCAAGCCACTTCACCCCAACTTGCTTCTCTCCACCCAGGAGCATAAATGTGTATCAGCTTATATTAAAACTTTCCATGGGGCATTGGTTCCCATGCACAGTAACAGACCAATCCATTAACCCTAGCCCACTGCCACACATGTGGGGGACAAAACGTACACCTACCGGTATTTGTGCTTGTCATGCGTAAGCTTATGCATATCAGACATTTGGTTGCGTAGTCGAAGCTGCATTTTCTCAAAAAAGAGTTTGGCAGAGCTCCGTGAATCCGACTATAGTTGAACCTTCTTCAGAAATCTTCCAAAAAACTTTACGTAGATTTTCAATGATCTGAAAAAGTGAGGGTTACCTAACTGAAAATGCAATTTTTAAATGGGAAAGTTACTGACCAGCAAAGTGCCAATTGCTTATTTGTATTATTCATAATGAAATATTTCACATTTTACACCATGCAATGTATTTTTTGAAAAACCAGTGTGTTGTGAGCAGCAAACTTGTACATTTACTGCGTTTCTTCCAGATCAATTTTACAAAAGCCTTAAGCACTGGGTAATGTACACAAATTCTAAATCTTCAAGTCTCTGCTCTTGTTATTCTCAATGTATGTTATTTATTGTGTTTCACAAGCTGATTTTAGTTTCTTTTCTTTTTTTGCCCAGGTTGTCGTATGGGTTGATCCTGTAGACGGCACCACAGAATACACTCAGGGTAAGATTTCAAACATAAAACATTCTGGCTCCTTTCCAAACTTGAAAAAAATAGGCATCTTCTGAAGTCGGGCTGAAATGCCCATAGGAGGGAGTGAAGTAACGTCAGAGATTTTCAAGGCAGGTGATCACTGTTTAATCACGAGGCCCCCTTCAATGGCAAAAAAAAGTGTTGTGTAGCTATTGTACAGAGCAACCGTTCCATGACAGGTTATCTAGTCAATAGCTAGCACAATGCTTTCACCATTGAAGACGGCCTTCGTGATAGAAATGATACCGTGCCTGGGTTGGTCTATGACTAAAAAAAAAAGACGTGTTTCAGTCGAATTTCTAGCTCTACGGATTTTTGACAGTTCATATTCTATGCTGGCATTTCATTTGGTAAGAGCAGTTCTAATTCCCCCCTTGGCCAATTTTCTTTTGTGGTCAACAGAGGGCGCCAGACAACAACAGTAGGCTTAGATCACTGCCTTCATTTATCTCAGAGATGGATTGAAGTCGGAGACTAGCCAGTGTGTCTCAGACATAAAGAAAATTAGATCTGTCCTGATAATCTTGTTTATGAAAAGAGGCCGTGCCCAAAGTGATTCTGAAATCTTATTGGTTGCCGTTATTATGTGTTGATAATACCGCCTTCTCTGTAGACTGATTGAGACTGATTGGCCTACTTTGATAGCAAACAGAACACAGTGCAATACATGTATGGATTTTACACTAAGTTGAACACTACAGCAAGGGTCATTAGGCCAATAATGGGCTGGTAGATCTCAAACTCTAAATCACATCCACCATCATGAGAGATTTAAGACTGTTCTCCAAGACGTTTTGTTCGCATGACCTCAAGTCCGAGGTCACATTAATATGTGTGTGCATGGCTGGGCACGTTCAGGCATTCAAACCGTGGACGAAAAATGACGGAGTACAAAAGAGAACAATATCGTCCGCGATTCCCAGCATACGTCTGGTGTTGGGATCGTATACAAAACATACGGGAGTCTTCCTAAAAAGTTAAGGTACAAACAAAAGAGGGACATTAGGATGTCCACGGTGGGAGGTCGTTACATGACTGTGTGGGCTTGTAATAACTTACTCTTGAATGACACCTGAATGACTCGGTTACAAGTCTGCCTGATACTATCAGGACTACCTCACTCCTACATCTCAAAGCTTCATTATGAATATGAACAGTAACAAACTTGGGGAAAAAAAGGACTTAAAAAGTGGTTACAGATATGAATATTCTGTTTCCCTACCCTCCCTTTTGCAGGCTTCTTGGATCACGTCACCGTTCTCATAGGCGTGGCCGTCAAAGGCATCGCGGTAGCTGGAGTCATACACCAGCCGTACTTCAACTACAAGACCTCGCCCGTGGAGGAGCAAGGACGCACCATGTGGGGCATTCTGGGCCTTGGAGGCTTTGGCTTCGAGCACAAAGAGTCCACCAAGCGGGTCATCACCACGACGCGGTCGCATTTAACGGAGGACGTGCAGAAGACGATTGATGCCATGAAACCAGATGAAATCCTGCGGGTCGGGGGTGCAGGCCACAAGGTAAGAAAACCTCCAATCAAAGCTGGTTTCATAACTTAGTTTTAATATCGAGGCAACAAATACAGATATTCCTCACGGTATAAACTAAGGTTCAGCTCGCAATCTGAAGAAATGCCCTCAAGAAAAGCGATTACAAAAAAATATTGTTTTTAGTGTCCCAATTTCTGGAAGTGCTACTAATAATTTGTAGGTTTTTGTCTGAATCTTTTCTGTATTTACTTTACATCATGCATCTTTAAATTCATGTATTTTAACACCATTCATGTGTTTTTGCCATGACTTCTGTAAAATAAAATCATTTATTTATGTATTTACCTATTTGTTTTTGCACCGATAGGTGATTCAACTTCTGGATGGTACAGCGAGTGCCTATATTTTTGCCAGTCGTGGTTGCAAGAAGTGGGATACGTGTGCTCCTGAGGCAATCTTGCATGCAGTAGGAGGTGAGTGCATACACACAGGGGTTTATAGGGGACCTTCAATACAGGTGATTCACAATAAAAATCTGGTTACTGATTGATTTAGGTGGCATGGGTGGCTTGTGCGTAAAGCGCTCGCCTCTCACCAAGGTGACCACGGTTTCGAATCCTGGCCGCGGATCACATGTGAGTAGAGTTGTGCGTTGGTTCTCTCCTGTGCCACGAGGGTTTTTCTCCGCGCCCCCCGGTTTTCCTCCCCCCGGAAAAATCAACACTTTCGATCTCAGGCTGTGCTCCGTGGTCATATATGGGTCGATGTGGCCGGCAGCCATAGGTGCCTTTACGTGCCAGCGGCCCGACCACGTTGTAGCCGCGTCCTTCACAATTCAGCATACCAGCTGCGAGTAAGGATGATTAGCCTCCCAAATTATTATTATTATTATTATTACAATACAATATGCTACAAAGTGGTTGCCACAGAGAGTCCGATCATATGACATCAAAGTACCACGTGACCATTCTGTTTCCTAGTGATCGGCCACCATTGCAGTAGGCAAGCGTTTGGTCATCAACCACGTCATGTGTTGTAAACTAGACAATAGGGCTTCTTTTCACTTAAATATTTGCAAATTCTTTATCAAATGGCGTAATGGTCACTACCTGTGCCGTGTACAGTTGTCATAATCATGCCAACCCAGCACTGGATGTTGGCTCCACGTTTTGCTCGCACTTTTTGCCATTCATCACAGCTTGGAAGGCTGCCTACTACCTACTGCACGCCGCGCTATACTTACGATCTTTGGGTACGACAATGGCAACGCTGACTTCCCGGTACCCGGATGTAGGCTGGTTCACGTGGGTCAGTGAGAGAGCCCTCTAAACGGACTCATTGCACAAACAGTTGATGACTCTTTGTGACCATTTTCAAAAGCCCAAGTGGGAGGGACACGCCATTTGCGCATACTAGTTTGTGTGCACAAAACCCATAGTATCTTCACATGAACATCAGGCACGATGGGCAAACCATTTGACCCCAAGAAGAGAAAATCTGGTTACTGAATGATTCAACATTTTCCCTTTTTCTTGTTGACCAAACAGGTCGACTGACGGACTGTCACAACAAGAGCTACATTTACCACAAAGACGTGGAACACCAAAATACGGGTGGGGTGATTGCCGCCTACAGCAATCACCAGTTCTATGTGGAAAGGGTACCCATGTCCATACGAGAGAAACTCCCCACGCAAACGGGGAGTGCCGAGTGAGACCAAGGATGCAGGGAGGTCAACGTCCTCCACAGAAATGAGATAACGGTTGTAGCTCAGTCCACAATCACGTGCACAGATCACGGAAGGCACAAGTAAATTGTTTGAGAAAAATAGTGGGGTTTGCAAGACCAGGGAGGAAAAGATATTACGTATTGGTGATGGAATTGTATGAAAGATTTGATTATTAATCGGTTATCACCAGAAATGAACAGTTGAACACCACAGTGAATTCCAACATCACCGAGCGGAGGTTTGGTGCAAAAATCCTCCTCTATTTTTGTGAGTTTTATACCAGGAAAAAAAAAAGTGGACCATTAGTAAAAATCAACGTGCTGCTTGTGTACGGACTGAAAAGTCCGATACTGTAACTCGATCATGAAGTAGTTTGAAAAAAAATAAATTACATTCCAGCTGAGATGTAAACAAACGATTCCTTTTTTTCAGAGGTCTGCATTTTGGTTAATGGCTCTGACGCGGGGTAACTCACTTTAACAAAAAGATGATATCCAGAAGGAAAATGATCGAAAGAAAAATTTGCCTGGAAATTTCAGCAGAGATGCGAGAGAGGATACAATGTCGTACCAGAATAAAAAAAGCTGTTTATGGCGATTGTATTTTGTGGTGTTCAACTGCCATTCTCTAAGTGATTTAGGGAAACACTTCACTAGTTTTTACTCTATGCAGCAGAAATATATATACTGGTATATGTACTATATAAAATTTAAAAAAAAATTGTGGTATGCACGCAACATGACGGAACAATTTGCTTCCTGCCGGTGACAGAAGCCAAGACTAAAAGTGAATTTATGTGAACTATTGACCGTGACAAAAAAGTGACTTTTTGAGGACACGTAGAAAAAAGACAGATGTAAATTTAACCCCCAAAAGTGCTTCATTGTATCTTATTCATTTGGGGTAATTTGTTATTTCGTTATGTGAAGAATCATGTCGGAAAAACCGGCCTTTTGTCCAGCTTTTACAAATGGAAAGATGTCTGTGTATAAATCGTGAAGAGTCTTCCCCTGTTGTGTTCCACAGCGATGTAGAGACCACGCTACATTTCTGCTCAGACCTTGAGCAGGTTCGATCAAGAACCATATGTATGGGTAACCGCACTTTGGCTGTTTGTGTTTGTAAACAGTGGAGAGTCAGGACACAGAACCGTTGGGCTGACTTTGCGACAACCCTTTCACTAAAGACATTTTGGCATTAAACTTGCATTCCCCATGCTATTTTTTCAAGTTTTATCCCCAACAAGTAGATTCCGTTTCTAAATTGCTAATTTACGAGCAATACAAAAGTTATTTACTTTTGAACGAGTCATCAACCGAAATTATCAGCCATGTTTAGTCATTGAATTATTACTTAACAAGTTTCAAATTATTGGCTGCCGGCCAATAATTCCATTCTCGCTGGGTAGGTTGGTTCCCGCCATACAATCAGTGTTGATAGTATATGGACTGGGAGCCAGTCTGCACGCAAAGCCCAAAACAAAAACCTTTATCAGAGGTTTGCAGACGTCCAAAAAAAAAAAAGGAGGATTTTTGGTTGGAGTAAAACATGCAATTTGAAATTTTATTAATAGAAACAACATTGAATTTGTTCAATGTTTGAGGAACGTAAGATGAGTGTGCAATGGATCAACTACTAGTCATGCAATGGTCTTTGATCGAACTTGCCTCTGTTGAAATCCCTCTTTGGTTATGAGCAGGGCCCTGTGTTGTCCACTTACACGTATTATCAGCGTGTTCGATTACATCTCTCACACTTACCCGTACTTTCGTCTTGGGTATAGATGCACATGCACAATCTGTAGCAATAAACAAACGATCTCGGGTTACTCGAGGTTGAGCCATAGCAACCAGACCGGGTCAAGAGGTCATGTGGCGATTAAATCCCCTTTGCAAATGGATCTGTGCCGTCGAAAGCGAGCCACGGTGGCCACTGTACTTGCTCTTCCAAAGTGAACAAGAAATGCGGAGTATGTTTAAAATTAACTTAACTTCTCTCCCGTCGTTTAGTACTAGTGTGAAGTGAAGCTGAGACACTTTTGAATCTCCCGCTGCCACAGCGCTAGACTTAGCCACCATGTTTTCACTTTGTATTGTGGGATATTTACCCAAGTAACCGGCTCAGCCATGTCAGCGTGTCGATTACTTGGGCCAGGTTTGAGTAAGCGCGAGAAGTCACGTGAGAGTTGGATCGAACACGGTCGCGCTTGCACGAGTAAGTGCGGGATAAGTAATCGAACGCGTGGCTGTTTAAAGTAAGGGCATTCTCATGTTGGCCGTTTTGCATAATAGGCTGATCCATTAGAACAACACCCCCACACTGCATGGAACAACCCCATGTATCATATGCATATTCATGTATATCATTAATCACGGCTGTGATTGGTCCAAATATCATGGGGTGAAGCTGAATGGATCAGTCCATTACTGTCAGGGTTACACTTTTTCCAATCTTTACAGCAGTTTGTGTATGATGAATTCGTTTGAGGGTTAACTTCAGGAGCAGTTTACTTCCCATAAGATGTGTAGCAGAAATTGACACTGTCCATTTTCTAGTGTTCACAGTGGAGTTGAATCCAAAAGTTCTTCCTATATGCCCTGTGCAAGAGAGTTTGAGATCCACTCAAACAGCCAAACTACGCTCTGCACGAATCGGTGAACAGCGTACTACATTGGAAAACACACCAATGTAGGCACATGAATGCCCATGCTGTATAGCTATCACAGTTCATGTATCTCTGACAGAGGGTCCCAGTGGGCATGTAGCTCGTGTTTGATTGGGAAAAAGAAGAAAATCCCTTGGTAAAATTTCTTCCCGCTCTTAAAATTTGATCCACTGGTGCAAGTGGAAGTAACTTTGACCGATTACCTATGAAGTAAGACTGAACATTTCATTAACAAAACAGTGAAAAAATAATTCATATTCAGTCTGACAAAAAAGAAAAATGTCTTTTATTTTTTGTAAAGATTTTAACAGGAAAATATATTTTGATTTTGGCATTGACTGTTTCTTTGTAATGTGGTCGTAAGATCCAGTTATATCATGCAAAAATGTTAGTTACTTCTCACTGTAGATGAGACTGTGAGACTTCAGATAGTATATTCAGCTTTATTCTTGTACAGATTATATGAAGAAGAGAAATTGTAAATATAATCGTTATTTCCAAAAATAAGCTTGCAGAGAGGAAAAACAACGTATTGGTATTGTAGAAATCATACAGCATCGATGTTGATATTCAAATAATTGTCTCAGATTTAACCAAAAAAAAAAAAAAATTATTTTCAAAGTTAAAGAATTACTGAAGAAACTTGTATATTATAGCAATATATAGGAAAAAGTAAAGGTGTCTGTATTAACACTCTTGTGGTGTATTTTAAATGCAACTGCTGTGAAAGTTCTGTATGTAGAATATATGGATATGGAAAAATGCTCGATGTATATGCAAAATGGGGCCAAGGGACTGCATTATTTGAATTCTCTACAAATGTGTCTTAGATTGTTCACGATTGGTCATTTTTTAATTGATGTTTTGGCATGACTTGATTCTCACTACGTCATTGCCTCTTAAAACATGAGGAGTTTAAATTGAAGCCAAACCAAAGTTTCCACGTCTTGAAGTGATCAAAGACTTTTAAAACCAACTAAAATGATCTAATCAGCCAAAGGTAGATTGTTAACCCTGTAAGAACTAATCAATTGTGCACTGCTGACTCAAAAGTTTCTGGATTGGTGAAGAGAAGTTTTGGTTGTAATTATATACATGAACCATCGAGGATTCAAGTCGTGCCAAAACCACCGAAAGGTAACAACAGTTATCGTCCAACTGTAAAATATTAAAAGTGGTACCTTGAACATTTGAAGAAGGAAAAGAAACAATTATACTTGAAAGTAGAGATGATGATGATAGTTATTTTGTTGTGTGGTTTGATTCCACGTATAATGTTACAGGGGCTCCGTGCGTAAACAAGAGAGGGCGCTGTTGAATGCTTTTTAAGAGCCCAGTAGAGGGGGCATGCTTGTGCGTACTGGTTCACGCGCGTATAAGTACAGTACTAGTTTTATTCTATATGTGAACAAAGCCACAGCATTTTGGCTCGGGCGTTGTCTCCAATGCGTTCCATGTCTCTCCCTGCGGTCTCCCCCAACTCTCTCTATCTGACCATTGAGGGGGTACTTAAGCATGAAGCCCTAAGGTTTACATTTGCAAGTTCAGTTGCTACTCGCTATGAACCAAAGTGTAACTACATTTATTTTTCATGTGAAATGGTTTGCTGATCATCAAGCTGATAGCGTCACCTGATATGGGACTTGATATGCTCAGCACTGAATTTCTGCAAGTTTTTAGTTCATGCAGATATTATTTAAAATAGGAACGTGGATGAAGAACTTGGTTCTTATTTTGTTTGTGAGAGATTATTCAGTTCATTTCCCAGCAAATATCAGAACTTTTTCAGGTGACTGGTTCAGAAAGAAATAATGTAATAGTTAAATATTGATATTACCCAAAAACAAAACAGTACTGTTACTATGTATGTAATTGCTGTAAATGTAACATGTAAAATTACAAGAATAGCTTTATTTGAAAAAAAACGATCATTTTTATTTTGGCCAGTGTGTTAAATAATTTCAGTGTTTTTATTGTAAAATTAGTCAATGAAAATGGCATATGTAATTTGGACTTTATTGAAACTCATTTTATTTGTCTGCAACTCCTAGTTTGTGTGGGTATCTTGTTTCTTTAGATATATTCAAAACTGCAATTTCATTTTTCAGCAGTCTTTCAGATTTGTAGTAAGTTTGCGCACTCGCATTCGAATTAAAAGGTAATATACAACAATTGCTTTTGCTTTAATTTTCAGCAATGGATGGATTTGGGGGTTATAGCAAATATTGTACACCGGCCTGTTAAAAGTTTTGTGTTCATGGATGCTGGAAAAACCAAGGAAAAAAAAATGCTGTTCTTGTAGTCTGGTTCCCTGAACCTACTTCAGACGAAACAGAGCAACTTGTAGACGTCGGGGAATTGTCATGTCAGGGAACCAAACAAGCTTGCTTGCAGCTATTCAAAAATGCGGAGCTGATTGCAAACAAATGTGGACTTACTTAATTAAGTTAGTGAATTGGAGGCAGTATTTGACAAAACAAAATCAGGTTTTCTCCAATGGTCGGCTGACAACAATCCCACATTTCTTGAAAATGACAGCAGACAAGGTGCCATGATTTCACAGGATGCTTGAGACTATCATTCTTGTACAGTCAAGTGAGGTATTTCATAGTAATTTGGTGTTTTTTTAAGTTTGCAAATGTTGTACATTACCTTTTAGATTGACAGTGTCATTTTTGTTTAATTTAGTTGTGCTGATCCCAAACTATGGCAATTTTTGGTAGCAGTTTCAATAGAAGTTTTTAGCATACCCCAAAGTACTGTTAATAGAAGTTCATAGAATTTTCAAGAGTGGAAACAAGTTTTGGTTTTGTCTGTGTAACATGCAGATCCGTAGGCTATAATTTTTTTCAGAATTAATCTGTTAAATGTACTGTTATAAAACAAAAAAAAATGGTTTATGAAAAAAATAATTTATAGTGACAAGTACCTGTATATTTTTATTATGGCGCAATCAAGTAGTCAATTTCATAAAGCCTAAAAAAATGCCATTGATAAATTGTTTTCTTGGATCTTAGTTTCAGTTTACCTTGTCCTTACGGCTTGGCTTTTACAGATTTATAACTTTTATTCAGTGTCTGTATAAACAGTTTGTATCACCGTTACCCTCAGAATTTTTTATATTGTTTCATAGATTGAAAAAAAAAGTATAAGCATAAATACATTGGTTTTCTCTCTTCAATGGCACTTCAGTAATTTTGTTCTGAAGCTGTGTGCAAGCCTAGTCATTTGGGCAAACAAAAAGGCTCTTTGTACCCAGTATGATCTGGTGCCTGTGATAGGATGGCTCACATCATAGTAATCCTTCTGTCTGCATAAGGACACTAGACAATAAAATGGCCGCTTGTTAGAACCTCAGTTGAAGAACATATTTTCTGCTCCGAATACGAGAAGAAAATTCAAATCACACTTGAGAAAATGTATATTTGTAAACTTCTGCTTGACACACCTTGTGCCCAGTAATGATTTCAATGAATTCACTAATTTCACGTGACCATAAAAGATCTTGGTGCTCATGCAAACTGCTACATACATTCCACGTATTGTAAACTTTTCCTAACAAACAATCTGAGGCAAGGAACACACAAGTAGATTTGATTTTCACCACTAAAAGGTAATATTTGAGAAATAAAAGTATGAATAAGAAAGAAGACAAAAAAGTTTCTATTTCTTGTTTTTGTCTTTGTGTTTTCCTTGTATTTTGAAATCCACAACTTTGTGGACTGGCACAATTGGAAGCATGTATGAGTTTGTCAAGCACATTTCTCCCCATAGAAATGTGTGCAACTTTGCGCGGACTGAACATGTGTTTGTTATAACTGGAATTTCATCTGGTTTCAGACTAACAGGAGCAGAATGTACCTAGTCTATTTTTGTCGCCTGTTGTGATTGAATACATGGAAGGGGGCAGGGGGCATGGAAAAGTAAAATATTACATTTGACTTTTACAGATAAAAATGCATTTTCAGAAAAGTTGTGCAACACTCCAAGCAAGAAAGCACTCAGAGTGCAAACCTCCACTAAGGCTGAAAAATTCCCCGGCATATTATCGGTACACCCAAAAGATAAACTTGCATATCCACTGGACTTCCATATTATATTGCACATTTAGAATTTCAAAATTTATCGAAAAATAGCAATGTTGGCCGCTTTCCGCTAATCCGTCCTGGTATGTTGTTCAAGTCGTAATACCCAGTGTTATGCGGCCGCTGTGCAGTCATGCGTATAAGCCGGTAAAGTGCGGCATAATAATCCCGGCTTCAAGGTTTTAATGTGGAGCAAAATTGTTGAATCTGGCCCTATCTCCCAATGGTGAAGAATCCTTTAAAAAAAATCAAGACCCAGACCCAGATCACTTCCAAAATCTAATCGATTTATACTTGTACAAGGACCACCCCTAAAAAAAAAAAAATTCACAAAAACCCGTCCATAACTTTTGGAGTTACCTTGTTAACAGACAAACCAACCAACAAACAAACCAACGCCGATGAAAAATCACTTCCATGGTGGAGGTTATGAATGAGAACTGGTAAAGAATACATGCCTGGGTCACATGACCTCGCATTAGGTTTCTTATCACACTGGTTTATTTACACAGAAAGAAAAGATACTTTTTTTCCCTTGAATTTTTTTGTTTTTGTTTTGCCACAACAGCATTCTGAGCACCATCAGTCTAATGGCATTTAAAGTGCGAGATATTTAAGTCGAAAACTCAACAAATGCACGACTGAATAGATTTCAGAAAGCATCAGAATTGACATAAATTCTGCAAATATTTGATTTAAATTACAGTTCTATTTACAGTTCTATGACCGGACCCGTCATCTTCAAGGCCAAGACCATGTTGATTTGGAAACGACGCTCTAGTTAGAAATCTAATAGACCTTCCAACAAAAACACATAGACCAGGACATCAATAACAGTTGGTTCCAGCGCCTCATAAACCAAGAGAATTACAATTATTTACAATATAACAATGTACAATATAACAGGGGCTCCTATATGGAAGTCTTGCCATGAAAGTCGTTCACAATTTGATTTTCCAACAAAACTGCCAGCAGCCTTGGTTTTATAGAAAGTGTCCGAACCAGTGGTGCGTACATGCCTTCATATGCGATATAACTAGTGGCACCACACTAAATAAACTCACTGTACAATTATACACTTGGTGACCAGATTTCTACAGGTCTAAATAAGCATGAATATCTCACACACACTGATCCATTTAATTGGAAACATTTTTCATGCAATTCTTACAGGTCGAGGGCTATTTCTTGAAGTATTTCTTCAATAGCGAAAGAAGCCACTGCTTCTCATTCATGTCATTCCAAAATACACATTGTGAGCACAAGTTCTGGGCGTCTCTTTAGACCTAAATAAATGAAAAGCAATTAATAGAATGCAATTAATGAAACTTTACAATTATATCAAAGGGCAGACTAATCCCATTGTGGATTTTGAAATCAATACTTTGCAGTAGAATTATCCTTTTTTTGGTTTATTTGCAAAGCTACTTAGCTCCTAACAGGCACAGGAAAGAATCAATTCAGTATCTGACCCAGTTCCCATTTCGAGGATGATCATACGCAGGGCCACTCCAACTGGCCACGCAAACCTGGCTCCGGAAATTGTGACTGGAGTAGTGGTCCATGTATCGGGGGTACTGACTGAAGTAATTGTTGGGACACTGTTGGTTGTAGTCGCTCAGAGCTCTGCGTTGGTAAGTGGTCCTCAGTGGGTATCTGTTGAGCTGTTGGGCCTGCCCTGCATTGGAACTATTGCTACGAGTCACTCTGACGGGTGGTGTTGTGCCCTCATTCGGTGCTCTGGAACGAGTCCTAGGTACCGACTCGGCTTTCTTCCGTTGTTTTGCAGCTGGTGGCGTGTCGGTGCTTTCATCCGCTTTTAGTGCCCGCTTCTTGCCCCCTTTGGGTTTTGGTGAGACTACAGCGTGGGGACAAGATCTGTCCAGAAGAAAAAATTATCAGTTGGAATGGTCAGTCCTTCTGATTAGAAAATCACAGGTGTGTGGAAGAAGGCACACCTGGATTTTTCTAGGCGTGTGTTTTTTCTAGGCGTGTGTTTTTTCTAGGCGTGTGTTTTTTCTAGGTGTGTGATTTTCTAGGTGTGTGATCTGTGGTCCAGGGAAATTCAGGCGTGCAATTATTCACACTTCTCGGGAGGCTTTTAGGTGTGCGATGGTGTGGGGGTGTGATCGCACGCCTCAAATCAGAAGGACTGAATGGTGAATTAGGCAACAAGGGCGCGGGGATCTATTTCTTTTTCTTTATTTTGAATAAGTAGTCTCTTTGAGCAGTTTCCACAAATTTCATTCTATCTAAAACACCATGGAATGCTTCAAATTGTACCTTCAAATTGTACCATGATACTAATTTTACACAGGAACGTATTTGTGCAAACTTTCGTTTTTTGGAATGTTCAAAGACATCCCTTTTTGGTTAAATTTTTTGTTAAGTGCATTTAAAAAGTTCCATGCTTTTCCTGACAACTGAGGGCGCTGTTGCTGTGGTATAAATCAAAGTGCACACTCTTTAGCTTAGGGGTTTTCTGTTCAAATTGTGAACCCAAATATTTGCCCATTGAAAACATTTGTGCAAAAAAGTTTGCCTATTGACCTACTGTCATGTGCCAAAGAACAAGTGACAAAAATCCCCCCCCCAAAAAAATTCACCACAGCAAAAAAAATCTAAAATTCTGGCAACTTTTGGTGCTGATGTAGCTGTATTAAATAAACACTGAATCTTCAGCCTTGAATGACATCACAGTTTTGCTCATGAATACGGCACAGACAGATCCGCTATACAAGCAGACTGGCTCCCAGTCAGTACATTATTGATACTGATTATGGGGAGGGAACCAGCTTATCCTGCAAGAACGGCATTATTGTGAAATGGTAAGGCCCCCCAAAAAAGTCTCTGGTTTCTGGTATGGAGCTTGCCCAAAAAGTGGTGTGGCGACGCGGCTTTTTTTTTTTTTTTTACCTGTTTTTTTTTGCTTTAAATGTCGGCTGATGACTGCAAATGGTGCCCGACTAAACCTAGTGCAGATATATGGTAGTCCGGAGAGGCCACATAAAGCTTATACTCGATCATAACCCCATCTAAAAACACGTTAAAATTGTGCAGCAGCAGGATTCCAGTCAAACCAGTGAGTTTGGCGGTTTTGAGACATCATCTTTTATTGAAAAAAACCCAACTTTTTCATTTTGCTGACGCGCATGGCTACGGCGACGCGCGCGCATACCAGAAACCAGAGACTTTTTTTTTTTGGCCTAAAGTAATTACTTCAATAACTAAACATGAGCTGATTTCTTTGGGAGATGTCTCATTCAACAGTGAATTACTTTTATACTGCTAGAAAAATAGCAGTTTAGAAAAAGAATATATTTTTTAGGGTTTAAATCGAAAATAGCAAGGGGACACAACTTTAAACGGAACAAAAGGTGTATTTTTAATGACTGACTTTTAAAAACCCATTACATGGGCCCTTTAAAGTATTTTAAGAATGCTTAAAAGCTATAGTCCATCATTTGCAGCTATCCAAAAAGTAACTGGCGTAGGGGCCTAATTATTGTTGAAAAACATACTTGGTTGAAAGATAGTAAGGGGACTAAATTCCCTGTGAAATTATTCTTTCTGGCAAGCTGCCATTTTGAAGAAATCAACGAAAGAAGGCCTTTCCAACGGTGCTTCTTAAGACGCACTGTATGAAATTTAAATTAGCAGTTCGTTTTGTTATTCGGCGAAGCGTGCGCAAGCATTGGCACGACACACACGCACATGCGGTTGCTATAATTCGTCGGATCAGTGCGACATCGCGTAGCTGCAATTGGCTCAGTGAGAACGTGTCTCGGACGCTGAATTCAGGCCCAATTCAAAACATGATTCAGCAACTTTTGATTTGAAATTGAGATCATAGAATGCTGTTTTTCTCGGAATATACAGCTGAAGCTGAGCTGAAACTTCATCAGGTTAGTTGTTCAGTACCCTTCTTTAGATTTTGTTGCTTCAAACAAACAAAATGCACAAATTACAAATGATGGACTATATCTTTAACTAAAAGGATGGTTTTGGATAACATGGATACCCACTCAATGTGCTTCTCAACGTCCCACATCCACAGCCCTGCCTTACAGCCATCTAGTGGACACTCGGTCACTCCCAGCTGTCTCTGAATCAGGATATTGTCTTCGGGTATGTCTGGTCTGCATAGAAAGAAATGGTCGGAGAGAAATGGTCAGAAAGAAAAGAAAAGGAAAACCAAAAAAAAGCAATTGTAATTTGTAAAAGGTCAAATACGATTGCCGGACAAATCCTTTCTCTTTGATCTTCTTTCTGTAGGCTCAATGCACGTGTTTGCTTTATATAGGGACCATTGCTTACAAGCTTTGCTTCTTAATGGATCCCTCTGCAGTATCGCTTGTTCGTTAATTGCATCTTTATATATCCATTTATTTATTTATTTATATATTACTTTCTATGATTAACTTTTGTTGGATTAATACTGTGGAAATAAATAAACCTGAACCTGAAAGCGCTATGACAACCATGTATTTAGTTTTACAACTTGTGACTTTTTGACGACTAAGGTATAATGATCACCTCAGGTAACCAATATTTTTCAAGATACAACAAGAAGGCCTATCTAGACAATCATTTTGTAAAATTAAAGCTCAGTCACTTTTCCTGACCATACAAATGTGGTTGTTTTTTTGTCCAAGACTTGTCTATTAATAACCCGTTATCAAGAGGAGGGTATCTCAAGAAGAGGACAGATCAGCTTGTTACCTTTTATTCTTTACGCCTGAAATTCACTTTTCGTTGTAAACCGGTACATAATCTTCAAAATTAGTCAAGGTTTGCCACATTGACTGATCTTTCAATCATGGCAACTCTTTGATATGATTTCTAAGCACTTTGGAGTCATATAATGGACGAATCTTGGGTCCGCAACCAACCTGTCTTCAGGATAGGCGTTCTCCCGTTGGCAGGTGGGACACTTCTTCATGGCCACACGCAGCTTGTCTGTTTGGTCATATAAGCAGTCAGAACAGGTCCTGTGTTGACAACTTGACACCACCATTTTCAGTTTGGGGTCCAGGCAAACTGGACAACTGAACCTGTTGCCAAAAGATGGGAGGAAGATAAGGAATTTGTTACCGCCTATGATTTGTTGAAACCCCAGTAGGGCCTAGGCCTACTTTGTCTTTGACATGTGGAGAAGCCAGTGTGCTTTCTAAAGTATTTTTGTCAAGTCTTTGCCGTGATTTTGGCAACTTTTTGAGGTGGATGTTCGTGAAAATACTGTAGTTTACACTGTAATTTTTGCTTCACAATTTTTCACTAAAACTACCAGTACCTTAAAAATGCACCAAAATCGCTGGTCCCACTAACTGGGGCACTAGAACTCCTTTTTTGACATTTGGGATGTTGGTCTGTCGTACTAGCGTAACTAGCCCAACATCCCAAATATCAAAAAAGGAGTTCTAGCACCCCAGTTAGTGGGACTACAAAATCGCCAAGTTTGGTACCATCAGAAAGCCACATTCATTCTCTGTCCAAATCTTACAACGGAAAACTAAATAAACCAAACTCTCAAGCGAACAACGAATATAACGGCTGTTGTCTGTCATTCAGTTTTGGTCAAAAGTGCACCCGCATGTATGCACTTTTGACCAAAACTGAATAACAGGCAAGAGCCGTACCAGTTGTCAAAATTTGATGCAAGCGATTTATCACAACCCATGATGTCATGCACCACGACACTTTCTTGAACAATGGCTGCAAAAGTCGTCCGAATTCAACTCGAAATTACAAGATAACTAGACCTCTGAAGGTGCCGGATTTCACGTTTTGTTGATATTATATTATTAAGCAGTTGTAGACGGCATTGTGCGAGTATAAAGTGACAAAATAATTGCGATTTGGAATTACTGTTCGGCTTCTCTAGCAACGGACTTTCCGTCCAAATACCACATGTGGGATTTGTGACAGTTAATTATTGGTCACAGACCGAGTTGGTTACGGGCCGAGTTGGTTACGGGCCGAGTTGGTCACGGACCGAGTTGGTCACGGACCGAGTTGGTTACGGACCAAGTTGACTCGGACCGAGTTGGTCACGGACCGAGTTGACGTGAAAGTGAAACCAAATTTTCCTTCAAATTGCACGTAGGCCTATAGCTTGAGTGACTCCAGCTGACATGCTCATATTCATTCACATGTGAATGAATATGAGCATGTCAGCTGGAGTCACTCAAGCTAGTAGGCCTAGGCCCCTACCCCCTAAGTTTAAAATTAAATAGCATCAATTAAACAAGCATTTTTTCCTCTTCATTTTGGTGAGTTTTCTTTGACTTTCGAGCAGTATTTATACTAGAAATCTATTAATATAGGCTACTAGAAAAGATTTAAGATGACAATTTTAGTGTGGTGTCAGATAAAGGCGAAAAATTGCCCTACCGCTGGACTCGCTACTTATATAAACTGACGTCCAAAACTATGCAAACGTAACACAGCGAAAAATTCCCCATTGGCCGTGTAACACGGATGGGAATGGGGGCGTGGGCGACAAGCGCGGCGCTCATTGGTGGACATGCCCGGCCGGGCCCGTGACGTCACAGAAACCACATGTCAGGGATTCGTTTACGCACGCACGCACGGCCTGTGCAGGCACGTACGGCCGGTGCATTCCGAGCCGCGGAGAACTTCGCACTGTCGAGCGGGCTGACCTGCTGACTTCCCGCAAGTTTATCACGAAATAGATTACGGATTTTATTTAAACAATTGTCATTTCCAAGGCGTGTTGATAGTCGCAAATTGAAGTATTTTAAGTAAGGGAAGTCCTCCTTTCATCCCAGGAAATTCTGGTTAAAATAGGAGCATTTTTAAACTATATTTTCTAACCCTTAGTTGTCTAAAATATACAAAGAAATGACTCGGGATACAAATTCAGAGACATCAGAGACTCGTTTTTAATAGAAAAGTTTGGCCTATGTTCATTTTATTATACGCATGTTCGTAATACCTCATATTTTGTGTATTACAACTTGGTTGTTTTTGGTTAGTATACAATTCACTTGGAAAAATAGTGGAAGATCTCTTGACCCAAACACTCAAGTTATACATTTAAATCTAAAGATTGTTTATAAACTTTTTTCACAATAGTGCTTTCCTTGCTGTCCATTCCCAAGGGCTTTATTTTTACCAAGTGCATTATTGTAATTGTAAATTTTAGCTTTTTTCAATAAACATTCAACCCGTTTTCTATGTGTATAGCATTGTTCTTGTGGTTTCGACCGGTACCTGAATAATTAGGCCTAAGACTGAAATTTAACCTACATGTACAACACGTAAACAGCAATGTGACTTCCCTCCTCAATAAACAGCCCCCTTCACACCCCACTCAGCTCAGCAGGATTAAGGGAAACAATGGCAGGTTCAAACCTAATTAAGATAAGGCTTAACCCATTGCATAGCCTCCAAGACGTTTTCTCTCGAATAACGGTAAGTTTTGAATTACTTGTATTAGTTTGTGTAGTCATGTAAGCTCTTCTCTTTGAATTGTTATGCTACCGTCAAAATGGGGAGCGATAAAGACAGTTTGAAATAAAAACTTCATGTCGCACGATATTAAAATATTTTTTTGTTAAAATTGGGTGGGGAAAACTATTCATTAATAACGGCAATGTATTAAAATGTTGTCGCTGTCACAGGAGGCACGCTTCCACCTCTTCATGGTGCTGCAATTTCAGGTGACGTATGTAGAAACTCTGGACCGAAAGACGACACCACGACAAGGGTAGACACTTCCCGCCAACCTGAAAAAAAATGAAAATCCATAAAATAATTGGTATGGTAAAGGGTTTGAAGGTACAGGTCGCCGATGATGGTTAAAAAGCAATTAAGGGTCTATTAATGTTTTAATTTGTATAACGCTTCCTTAATTTACATCTCTTTATCTGTCCTTAATAAACTTTAAAAAGTGAACAATATTCAGGAATTCCAAATTCCTAAAAAAAAATCTTAAAGAATCCAGAAATCAGAAAAAAAAGACAAAAAGTTCCTAAATTAAATCAGGAAATCCTGACCCCAAACAATTCCAAAAGTTTTTACAAGAAAAAATCCTGTCAAAAATGCCTGAAATCAGGAAAAATCCACACAAAAATTCTTGAAATCCTGACAAATCGCACGCCTGGATTATCAAATCTGAATCAGTATTAAATCTGAATCTTGCATTTTCATCGCTTGCACGAATGTCAATTTACATTCAACAAACCGCACGTGCATGTACCGCGCCCGCGCCGCCTAGATAGACTGTACGCATCGCGGTCAGGTCGTATATGTGTAACGGCCACGCACGATTTGACGTACGACGTACGCATCAACGTCGTCGTCGCCATGCATATTGACGTGGCGCACTCAATACACTCAACCCCCACACACAAAACACGTTGCATATGATTTTCCAATGATTAACGAACACCTTCAGCCAGTGGCGCGGTTTCACACTAAAATCGCAACAAAAATATGACCTACCAAAATTCAAATACCACCAAGGAATCCGCGAGTTGTTGCGCCTCAGGTTGACACCAAAGAAATGGAATATAAGGTCGAAGGAAACCACGAATTCATACGATTTTGGTACCATTCGAAAGATCGTCGTGAACTCTGTCGAAGTGGAAACGACTCGAGGTACAGACGTGAAGCATGTGCGCATGCGCAACAGTTTTATTCATGAAAACTGCCTTTTATGGTCAGTATGATGACGTCATATAATGAGATCGCTGTGACGCCCTCTCGCGGCCGTTCCGTGCCAATTCATGTAGGGTATTTTTCGCTGTGCGTAAAGCCTACCAAAACCATGATAAAACAGATGCCTAACGTTACCTTTTTTCAAAATTGTGTTGAGCATCTGTCAGCTCCTCAGTACTGCTATTTACTGGTGGTTGGTGATCCATCTGTAGCCTAGAAAAATTATAGGTTTACCTCGAAAAATTAAACCCCAAATTGCCAAAATAAAAATGTTCTTTCTCAAGCTTGGCGGCGAGTTGTCATGTGATGCAAAACGGCATCCTGATTGGTAGATACATGCGTAACCTATAATCTTGTATGAACAAAGTCTTGCATTCATAAAACAGTCGTCAACGTTAGCTGCGACGTTGAGGGCGCATTTAAAGGGCTTTTTGCGCCAACGAAAAACCCCGCGAAATCAATGCGGAAGTTGGAGGTGAGTACGCGAGCACACGTACGTCTTATGCGCTTGGAAGATGATTACATAATAAAATCGAGCTCCGTAAGCGTTAGGACACCTCCATGAATAGACATTTAATGCTACCATTTTCTTTGGCCATCAGTACAGTGAAAACCCAAGGGAAAGATTCCCATATCTGGCCATCACTAATTTTCCACTTCAGTGACGTATCAGCCGGCATCAGAAAGTGATAATATGTCCTCAAACAAAAGTCAAATTTAGCAGGGAAAATATTGAAGTATTTACTGAGAAAACACTTGAAAATTTTCAGACCAGTGTCATAGGGTTTGTGCATAGAGTGGCAAGGGATGGCAAGATATGGGAATCTTTATCTGATGGTGTCAATAAAAATAAGATTGAGTTGGCATGAACAAAACGTTGTCGTAAACGTTGGTACCTTGATCCTGTCTTAACTTATTCTTTAACATGGGGCTTGCGGTCGCTGCCGAAGTAAATTGAGCGTGATTGCTGGGGAGTAATAAATAACCGTCTGATATTTTCTACACAAACCCCCGGTGTAGGGGGTTTTGCATTGACATTTTTAGATACCAACTTTCAGCAATCATGTGGTTTGTTTACTTAGTTGTATTCCTTCTTCGACGTATAATATGCAGTGTGTGCTGCCTAGTCAACTAAACCATATCAAATCCCTATTTCAGAACCCCTGAAGGCCTGATCTACAGTACCGTACGTAGACCTTTCTTTTGTTTGTAAACATATGAGCACCATTTCGTATGGGCTGCTACAACTTCAAGGGCATAATATTCAGCCGTAGTTGGCCAAATATTGCATTCAAACAATCTCATTACGTAAGAAAGAGGCATGTTCATTATTTAATATTTGGAAGAATGTTGTAAGCTGATGCCACTTTTTTCTTTATATATCATCTCAATGAAGGTCAGTCATTGCAAAAATGATAAGATATGAAATATGGGACTGAGAAACATTTCCAATTTTGTTAGGAAATACTTTTAAAAAAGTTCTTGACTCCATAAACTTTGTACACACCCGCTGAAGTGGCATCAGGTTGCAACATTCTTTCTGCATTTGTTTATTTTGTATGTTCAACAATCCATTGTTATGTTTAAAAAAATTAATAACTACATATATTTTTTTTGAAATGTTGACCTTCCAAATTCCGTAGTTTGCCAACGTGTGGTCTCAATGATGGAAGCATCATCTCAAGATCCATCCTCTGCCTCATCTGCATCATCAGAATGGGTTACCATAGCAACTGAAAATGAGCTGAGGGAGAAAGGACGAAAGACTGCACTTGTGTCTGGCAGAAAAATTACAGTGTTCTGTCGAGATGGGGGGTTTTATGCATTGGACTTTCACTGTTACCGTGAGTCAAACAGAATCTTGATTATCTGATTGGTACTTAAAGTTTGAGAAATCCTGTGATATCTGACCCTTCGAAACTTAAATTGTGCAAAAATGAGGGTCAGATATGTGATCTGCCTTTTCCCCAGTATTATCTAGTGATGTGACTAAGGTAAAAGAAAAGAGACATGGGGAACGGTGCCCCAAAGCTCCCCCAGCCCCCCCCCCCCCACAAAGCCCCCACCATGCAACCCCTTCCCCAAGCCCAACCCCCTTCAAGCCTCCCCTTTCCCCCCACCCCTTCCCCCCCTCCCCCTCCGTCCTGCAATTTGGACCCCTGTTACGTAAATGCTATTATCTGTTCTTGTTGGCTGCTCTTCGTCCAGAAATAAATGAGCTCCATTTTCATCACAAGTTGGTTATTTTATTTCACTTCACAGATGCCGGTGGACCTCTGGATGTTGGAAACATAGAGGTTTGTATCTTGCTAACTATTAGTTTGTTTTAATCACTAGCTGGGCAGAGTCATATACTAATGTATTACTTTGACCTCAATCTGCATGTTGACCCCAAGTGGGCGTGGTAAACCTCGGTGAAGCAATTTCGCCACATTTTACATCATCAACGTTATGTTTTACGTAAGAGCAATTCGATTGGGAGTGCTTTCTTAGAGATGTTTTCTATTGAAAGGCTGAAAGAAAGAAATTTGCCAAATAAGCAAAACAAAACAAATAAATCATTATTTTGCTTGTGCCAACTGTAGCATAGGACCTGCATACACTGGATTCCATTAACCGTTGCATTTTGTGTACACTCTTTAGAAGGTCTTTTACAAAAAAAGTGACACACATAAAATAGACAGCTTAGGATATTTTAATATATAGGATGAAAGAACAATTCGTAAAGTGAAATTTGTAAAAATGTTTAGGTTTTCATTGTCAAGTTATTCTTTTCACCATCAACTTCGTTTTGTGTTAAAAAAAAAAAAAAAACACCCTTTAGGCCAAAAAAAAAAAATAAGTCGGTCTCTGGTCAGCGCGCGCGTCGATTTTAATCATGCGCATGGATCTTTTTTTTTTCCAAAATGTTCTGCGGTAGCTCCAATAGGGCCCTCTATTGCCGCACCTCCTCAATTTTTTTTTTACCAAAGAGCACCAAGGAATGGGAAGTTGCACCAAGGCAAATGATCGAAAGCACCAAGGCAAATTATGGAGGACACCAATGTACATGAGGACACCAAAAAAGCAAAATAGTACCCACCTTGTCTGTACAATCCAAGCTTGAAAAACAAAAAAAAAGAGGCCCCCCCCCCAAAAAAAAGCCGCGTGGCCGCATCAATTCCGGAACTTCGGTCTGACCAGAGACCGAATATTTTTTTTTTAAGTCAGACATTTCCTTAAATTTGTGTTTTTTATAAACATTTATATTTCAACCCATTTTTGTTATGCCCCTTGCCCAGAACTTTTAGCCTAGAAATGCACATGGTTCTGGATTAAGACATGTTTGAATTAGAACTGATAAGTTTTAGTTATGACTTTACTTCTGTTAAAACTGAAATGATGATTGTATAACTTGTTGAATCCTTATTTAGGATATTAACGGAGTCAGCTGTGTTGTGTGTCCGTGGCACAAATACAAGATTAGCCTAGCAACTGGGGAAGGCTTTTATCAGGCAGTTGGTAAGAGATTTTGTTGTATTTATTTAACAAGGCTGTTATTTTTGAGACCCTCTGCTAAATTCCCAGGCCTTAATTACCTTTTTTAGAATAGTCCAGAGGTTTTTCAGAGATTTCCTAGTTTATGGAATAGCCACTAGCACACAATTGTCTATGATATTTGCGCAGATTTAGCCATTAATTATGGAAAAACAGACTGCATCTTGACCTCCAGATTCTGACCATTCAGGCGCCTTCTATTGGCACTTTCAGGCCTTCGGTAACCTGTTGTTGTATTACAAAACTATGGCAGCCAATGGACCAATCAACAGCTTAGGCCGATTTCTGCTCAAAATGATGTCACAATTGCTAAAGTAGGCTCCAATTGGCTGGCTCGCGGGGTTGCATAGAATTTGCATGCTCGGATATCAGACGTTCGTAGTGTGTCTCTGCACACGTAAATGTCAAATCGTCAGACTAAGGTTTTCCTTCAGTTCAAAAAAATACTGATGTTCTTGACAATTTAAGTCGCATATTTTCTTTGGGGGTCGTTATGTTCTTGAAAACCATGTAACCATTGAACAAGGTTAGATGATGTCCCAAGCAGAAATCAGTGCTTAGCAAAGTTTGTTTTGTTTTGGTTAGCATATTGGCAGTTCTCGTGATCAGTCCTGTTATCATCTCCGATCCTGTCACAGATCCACAGAATCCAAGACAGGCTCCATGCTGGAGGTCAAAGGGCGTGAAACAACGAACCCACAGCGTGGAGGTCAGAGATGGTACGGTCTACGTAAAGCTGTCCACGTCCAGTGCAAAGCACGAATCTGACTTCTATTACTCGAAGGAATACCAGCAATTGATGGGCTTAAACGAGGAAGTCTCTTAATGAAGGGAGGATCCAGATTTTTTTTTATTGAGGGTTTTAGGGGGTACTTAAGATTTTTAAATAAGGTATTAGTTAATAAAGGGAATTTTTTTATTGTTTAAAATAATTTGGGTTAAGGTCTGGATCCTACCGGAAGTGTTCATTTACTTTGTAAGACTAAAGTTTTAGTCTGTGGTATATATTTTTTTAAATTTAATATTATTAAATTAATATAATTATATATTATAAAAAGATGTAAATATGAAATAGTATTAAAGCATACTAGCACGTCACATACAAAAGTTCCATTCACGGTTAATAGAACTTCCATTGCATGGTCAGACTTTTCAGGCCTTGTATAAAACAAGTGGTGAATGTTTCACATTCGTGCAATGGTAAGAATAATTTCATTCGGCGACAGATTCACTTGGCTTGCCTCGTGGAATGGAACATTCCATCTGTCACCTCATGAAATTATTCTTACTATTGCACTCATAAATATTACATTTGTATTTGAATATGATTATCAAGGATTGACCAATCAGGATGAAGGCTTCAAGTTTGGTCGAAGTTAATGTACATGTATATGGGGTGCTGTGGTCCAATGTTTACTGTGTTCGACTTGTGTGCCGTGGTGCATGGGTTTGAATCCTGACGGGGAACATGGTGCTTGTGCTCTTGAGCAAGGCACTTTACCATTATTGCTTCGTCCTTCGGATGGGACGTAAAGCCGTCGGTCCCCTGTGTTGTGTAATGCACGTTAAAGAACCCAGTAACACTTATCGCTATTAAGAGAAGGGGTTTACCCCGGTGTTTCTGGCAGTGGCTGCAATATGCTCCGCAGTACTGCTACATAATAGGTCTCACATTTTTCATAAACTTTATTTACACGTCTTTAAAAATAGACATAATTACCAGCACCATAAGTACCTAATTGTAGGTAGATACATGCGCTATATAAGACTCTGGTATTATCCTGGATCATGAATTGACAATTCAATAAAACAGCGTAAACGCAATCTTTTCTTATTTCAGCACAAAATTAGTCTGCTTGTGTTTATTTCATCTTTGTTCCTGCTTGTAGAAAAACATACCGTTTAACTGACTGATAGTAAAGATATATTATGCAAATAGAACATTCACTTACAGAAGTAGTAATTCACAAGTCCAATTCATTCTTCCATTATTAATACCCTCAACTTGATTTGTTTCTTGCATTTTAAATATTTATGAATTTCTGATTAACTTTTAATACTTTAACACATACAGCTAAAAAACATTCTAATGCCAGGTCCAAAAATCATTATAGAAAATATTATGATCAGTGCACCACTATTTAACATTGTTTTGTATGAAACATTTTGGTGTGTTGCAATGGGGCTTGAGTTGTGCACGCATGCAATACAGGGTGAGTCAAAAAGAAGTTGACCGGGATTGGTGATGTTTTTCAAAACAAACAAATGACACTCAAAAGTTCAGTAAAGCATATATTTAACAAGCACTCTCTCCTGCTTATTAGAAAAAAAAGAATGAAACAAATTGATCATTCCTAAGAGGAGTTATGTCTATTTTAATAAAGGTACTCATTTTGCAAGCTGTCCACGGAATACTTGAACAAACAAATGTAAAGTAAGCATTTTAGCTGTGTACATTAACATTCCATGGACAGCTACAAACATGAGTGCTTTCAGTAAAACAGGCATAACTTCTCTTAGGAATGATCAATTTGTTTCATTCTTTTTTTCAGATAAGCAAAAAGAATGCTTGTTTAATATGTGCTTCACTGGAGTTTTGAGTGTCATTTGTTTGTTTTGGAAAACATCACCAATCCTGGTCAACTTCTTTTTGACTCACCCTGTACAGATGCGGTGGGGCTTGCCAAACTTCTTTAAAACTCATGTTTTCATTAAAAACTCCAACCCTCTTTGCTAGAATACTTCCTAAATCCTCCAATATGCAGGAAAACTGGCAAATTCTTAAAGCTTTGAATCGTTTGCATTTACCTGGAAAAGTACCGATTTAATGGCAGAAACCTTACTCAAAGTGAAGATAGGACTGGTATCAAAAATGTTCAACTGGTAGCTAAAATTTCAACAGGTTGGTTGCATAACCACTAACTTGTTGAAGTTTCAGCTCAGTGGATGTTGTACATTCTGAGAAAACAGAGAAAACCAAAGCACAGTTTTAGGGTCTCGTAGGTTGATGTCATTGCCAACACCTCCAATTGAAAACTGGCTGGTTCATATTTTGAGTTGCACTCTCTCGTGTACAATGCCTGAATCCTCACTTGGGATACAATTCTCATTCAGCCTGTTAGTGTATGTGACATCAAGGTCCCAAGGTTTCACACAAGACATGGGTAATCCTTGTAGTATTTAACGAATATTGTCAAATTTTTAAAAAGTGTGCCCGTTGGCACATTTAAATAAAAAACACACCTTTAAATCTAACTCCCCAGCCTAATTTACTAGGAACCATACCCACTCTGGCAAATTCCAACACCCACATGGGAAATTGTACACACACACACACTGTTGGACTTAGTTTCTGGAGGTATGCCAACCCCAGTGTAAAAGACCATCAGTTTAGGGGTACTGTACCTATCCCAACAGATTTAAACAAAACCTGCTGTTGAACTTTGATGGGTCGAGTTTGGTTAGGGTTAATGACTGATTTCTTCTTAATGATACTATTTCAGGTGGGAATAATTTCACAGGATATTCTCTTCACAGAGAGCAAGTTTTTTTCCCTCATTAATTTGGTAAGTTCGTTTCCAGGGGATTACCAATAAATTGCATGTGCCTTTAAAACATTAAAGGTGACTGGGCTCTACGTTCTGAAATCCTGCAGAACACTCTGAAGCATAAGTAATTTTTTTGGTTCTGTTTTGCAACACACACTCTTGTTGAACCTGTTTTGTTTTTGATAATCTAAGTTACTAATGAAACTTGCATGCAATACTGTTTTAGTCTCTTTAAATATCACCGTCACAAGGGATTTTTTTAAATTTAATTTTGATTAGTAACAGCTTGTTTTGGTGAAACTTCCATTATTATGATAACTCAAGACAATACATAGTAATGAATTACCAAGCCAATATATTTGTATTTTGGCGTAAGAATTAAACTAAGACAACCACACTGCCACAAGACATCACACAAAGAAAGAACGGAACAATTCACAATACCGATTGCCATGATACCAAAAACCAAACACCAAGGAATATAATCACAGAGAACTACTTAGATAATGTGGCATCAACCAGTGAGCCACTCGTGTACCAGTGAAGAGACTTTTCTAGTCCTTTTTCTTTTCTTCTTGGCTCTTCGGCGGGGCTATCGCCGCCTGTTCCCCTGCAGCATCTACGGGGGTCTTGCCGTCTGCTTCAATGTGCATCTCCCCTGTAGTGCCAAACTCGTTGACTCGTTTCAGATCCACAGGGTAGATGTAGCGCTGGTAGACGTAGATTATGAAGATCACATCTGTTCAAAGAAATCAATGGGAACAATTTGATCAAGTGAATAACAACCAACTATATCCAACAAGGGCAATATACAGGTTTTTTTAAGATATTCATTTTACATGTATTTCAATTTTTTTCTGAGTAATGAACATAATTTTTGTTTGTAGCTGTTAGATTTTGTTAGATTTTGTTTGATTCAGCAGGCTTTAACAAGCACTGCTTACCAAAATCCTTGAAAAGTTTACGCAAATTCATTCAAGATCATTTGTCATTTGTGCATTCTTTTTTTTTTTTTGAAACAACAAAAGTGCTCAAAATCTGAAGATGGGTGCTTAACAACTAACCACATGAAGTTTTAGCTCTGTGAATGTCTGTACATTCTGAGAAAACAATATTCTAGGATCTCGATTTCAATTCAAAAGTTGGGGAGGTATGTTTTGAAATGTGCCCGAAATCAGCATCCGGGACACGTTCTCATTCAGCCGACTGCAGCTACGCAATGTCGCGTGCTAAACCGACGAATTATAGCTACTGTGTGCACGTGTGCGTCAATGCTTGCACGCACCCATTCACGGCGAATTACCCATCAAACTACTAACAGAAATTTCCAAAAATGTGTCACTTGACGCATCTTTGGAAATGACATTCTTTTATTGTGTTTTTCAAAATGACAGCATGGCAGAAAGAATAATTTCACAGGGAGTTTATTGCCATTACCATCTTTAAACCAAGTAAGCTTTTTAAAAATAATTTCACAAGTTACTTTTTGAATAACTGCAAATGATCTTCTCTACCTTTAAATCAAATTGATGCTGATGGATTCACTACAGTACTAGTTGAATGTGATACAAATATTCACATATTGGAAACAGGATTGGGGTTAATTAATGAAAGTAATGGTTTTCAAACACTAATGAGTTTATTTGTTGAGGCACGTAAAGCACACAAGATGGTGTTTGAATCGCCGACTCTTCTAACCCACTCCAACCCTTCCAAGGGTTATTGACTGTTCATGGGCAAAACAATTTACAGTGATTGCTTCTCCGTCACGTTATCTCAGACTCACTAGGAATTGAAACTCCCAACTGGGTTGCATTAAAACTGTGGTACTCACCATCGCGAAGACAGCCAATGCGATACAGCATGGGCATCTTGATGACGAAGGCAAAGATGTCGTCGATGAAGGTGTTGAGTGCTTTGTAGGTCAGCATGCGCCACGGCAGGTGGGCCACGGACTTCAGCTTGTAGTTGATGAAGAGCTGGGGCGTCATCATGATGAACCCTGTGCCAAAATCAAGATGATTATGTAAGAGAGGAGTGGCTAACAATGTGGTGCATTTATATTTCTTTAGAATGCTAAGTTTTGGACTATACTTAACACTGTGGTTTCAAGCACTCGGTTAGAGCCGCTCACCCGCGGCTTTGATGCACACATTTGGCACAGAGTCTGGAATCTTGCGATTGTTCTAACATCACCATTTGAATGCCAAGCGGTGTTTAAATGGGGGTTTGAAACCACCCACGCAATTGGCTCTCCATCAATCGGAATAGGTTAAATTGTCATTTATGAATAAACATTAAGTATATATTAAGGCAAAAATGCGTAGCTGATTTCAGTGGATGGACTGTGTCAAGGTCTTACGACTTTGTGTTATTTATGCTCAGCCGTGCATAAATTAAGGTGTTGATTATACTTGAAATCCTGAGAAACGACTGGGAGTATTTCTATTGCCCCTGGACGGGATGCTAGTCCATCGCAGGTTACTCCCCAGCTAATGCCAGTACCCATTTATACTCCTGGTGGAGAGAGGCAGTTTGGGGTGAAGTGGCTTGCCCAAGGACACAACACATGGCCAGCAGCTGAATTCGAACCCCTGAACCTCTGATCATGAGTCACAAACCCTAACCACTAGGCCACACTCCCCAATCTGCCTCAACATATTGACAGTGATTGCCGGAGGATTTTGCAGGATGGAGGCAGTGGTCACCCCTCCAAGGACCACATGCAAGAAATAACAGAGATTTTGCAGGATTGAGGCTGTAGGCAATTTTTACATGAAGGCAGTTGGAGGACTTTGCAAGATTGAGGTTGCATCCTAGCAAAAATGCCCAGGGAGTTAGGCTTAACAAATAATAAAATTTAAGAAAGGCCAGTTTGAGATGTGACTCACCGAAGGTAAGGAGGAAGCCATAGAGCATGTTGAGCACAAACGAGTACCAGCCTTTATGCTCTTGGTATATGACTGAGTAGACTGAGTAACCGGCTAAGAGTGGGAAGAGAAGCCACGACAGATACTTGAAGGCCATCTGAGGAAAACAATGATATACAGTTATGATTAAATGATGTACTGGGTATAGGTGTGGGTGGGATTACGTGAGCCACTGAAAACCTCTATTCATTTGCACACCAGTTTTCATCGGTCACAATGTGTGACCATTCAGCACTCCAGACGCAAGAACCATTGAGTTTCAAGAAAATGGGTCTGGGAGCTAGATGAGCCAATGTTACAAACTTCCAGAGGATTCGCGATCGTAGATGTCATTGCATGCGATCACGTAAAATCAGACGTCCAATGTTGTTTTCCATCTTTTTTTCTTCAAAATAGGGACCGATTCGACCCATTCTTTGTTCAGCACAACAAATTTGAGTATGTCAATAAGTACCAGACGGAGTTTGGAGGCAAAATGTACAGCGGTTTTTTAGCATATTATAGAAAATACGTTCCTTTCTGTCTTGAATTTGTGTGGTAGTAGTATATAGCAAATGTTGGCATTCCATCTATGGGGCTCACCGCTTGGTGGAGCCCCATAGTTCTAGGGGTAGGTGCGTACACTAGGAAATGGATGATACCAGGATACAAAATCAATGACTGGCTATGAACATTTATGTAACTTGATACATCAACTCATGCACATATTGACAAACTACATTTTTGAAATTCACTTCACAGTTATTTTAGGAAGCAACTCCTTTTCAGTACATTCTTTCACAAAATTCCAGACAACTTAATTACTCACCGTATCATATTTCTTGGTAGATGACTCGGTGTAGGACGACTTGTCTTCAAATCGTACGGGTATGAATCCAAGGTAGGGATTAGCTGTATCAAACTGAGGAAGAGGGGGAAAAGCAATTTAGAAAACTCTATGGGTTGGGGAGAGAGCAGTAAAACCAATGTTGAATTGAAGGTAATGTACACTTATACATTTATATTAGGTTTATTTGTTTTGTTTCTCGTCAGGGAGGGACCAACCTACCTTGACATTGACGACCTTGGTGATCTTCCAAGCCTCAATGATCAGCCCAATGAACACGCTGACCTTGACCACAAAGTTGGTCTCGTTGTCCATGATGTACAGCAGCACGATGAGTGACTGGAACACACCGAAGAACACCGAACGTACGGACAGACCCTCCAGAGACTTACGATTGTTCCAGAATTGAATATCTGAAAATGAGGCAAGAAAAAAGGAGGTAATACTCTGTACACTCACTCAGGCCCCATTGATGGCCACAGCATTGTTGAGATAATAAATCATGGGGCAGTAGCGTTGCACAATAGCTTGCAAGCTTCCCCCATTGAAGGGGGCCTCCTGAGTTGGTCTATAAACGAATCTGGGAACGTCATCACTGTGGGCACGTCATCACTGTAGACACACAAGGCCCCCTTCGATGGCGGAAGCACTGTGCCAACTATTGTACAAAGCAACTGCCCCATGATGGATTATCTGAACAATAGCTAGCACAATGCTTTTGCCACTGAAGGGGGCCTTCATGATAGAATTGACATGCATGCTTGGATTGGTCTGTGGGTAAGTGACACAAAACCATGACTGCTGACAAAAAAACAGGCAAACAGGGCAACTCTCAAACACTGACATTTTGAGTGTTTAGTTTTGATTAAAAACTCAATGTAATATCATACTCATAAGTCTTGATATCTTTCAGGAAGTTTTAAAGCAGACCCACGTTTTGCTTCAATGTTGCAGACTATGATGATATGCTTTGCTCTGCACAAAAAGTGATCTTACAGTAATGTTCCTGATATCAATTAATTTATCTATTTTAATATTTTCTGGATATTAAACTAATGATCAACAGACAATCACAAGTCAGTCAAAAGCAATCACAAGCAAGGTCAGAAGTGTGTGTTACAGGGGTTACGGTACCTTTGTGACGATTTGAATAGCTTCTTAATACTGGTACATTTTTTTAATACAACACTGTGAGAGTTGTTCTAAGAGTGTTTAAGAATCATAACTGCATTAGTGAATTTTCAGAATATCCAAGACCAATAAGTGCATGGGTGAGTTTTAACATGAGCGTCACTTACATGTGGGCATTGAAAGTGTTGCTTAATCATTTGCATTACCCATGTCTTGGTATTGAACTGAAGGTGTTGGACGTTACAAGAAAACCCTTACCGTTTTTGAAAGCCAGGAATTCGAAGACACTGTGCACAATGGAGACGACAAACGTGAGGCCAAGAAGGTATGGGTTGGTCTCCAGCATGGCTCTCTGTGTTGAAGAATAGGAAAACATTATAATTGGTTTATTTGAAAATTTGTAATAAAAAGCCGCACCCTCTCTGAGTGACTCCCATGTGCTATTTCCTAGGTTTTACGCATTGCTAATGTTGCCAGCATCTTGACTTTGGCCGTGATCCCTGGCTGCATGGCATATACGGGTTTATGGCTTCTGACTAGCGTCCCTTGAACAAAGACATTGACAAAATGGGGAACCACCAACATAGGGCTGGAGAGCTCAGTTGGTACAGCACTGGAATGACAATTTGGAGGTTGCAGGTTCACACCCTGCTCCAGTCAATTTCTTTGTTGGTAAAGCACCGGGGAACAAAATACAACCAGACTTTAAAAGTAAATTTACAATACAATAAAACAAATTTTTAAATAATTCAGCACATTGGTCATCAAAACCTTGTCTAATTAATGACAATCGAACTTGCCGAGTCCACTGTTTGGAACCCATAAATGCAAGTTTGGGGTGATATCACATGATCGTAATTTTCATTTGTTAGTTGTGTGTTTCTGCGACAACCTCTGATAAAATTTCAAGCTCTGTTCCTCGTTAGGTCATGAAAAATACTCACAAATCTCCAATCTGCCGTCAAGTGACAAACAATTCTAATGAACTGTGAAAAATGCATTCCTTCATCCCTAGCCATCCGCTGTTACTTGCGACCAGACTTGTGATTTGGTAAAATCATTAGAGAGGTTTTGCAAGCGAACAGATACAGTTAAGTGCGACATAATAATGCAACTTGAAATCTACTAGTGGTGTACATGGCATGGATATATCGCTATTGTTAATTTTAATTAATATTATTAATTATTTCTGGTAATGAAACCAAGGATTCCTCAAAAGCGCCTTAGTTTTAGAAGTGGGAGGAAAACCCCAGAAGAATATTTAAGGGAAAACCCACAGAATCAGGTAGGAACTGAAAACCCAATCCACATATTGGCCTAGGCGGGAATCGAACCCGGGTCACAGCGGTGGAAGGTGAGGAAAGTACCGCTACGCCAACCTGACTCCCTGCTATGCATCAGTTTGAAGTTATTCAATCATTTATGATTTGATTTTCTGATATGAGGCTGCCATTTTAGATTACTGCTGTTATATGGAAACAGTTCCGATAATATGCATATGCAATGCCAACAATGATACGGTTGATAATGGTTGATAACAGCTAAAAGTATGTACACATGTATCCGTTGGGATACGAAACCTCTCCATTGACTTGTGCCTGACTCAGGAATATCTTAAAATACCTTGAGAGCAACCAAGAAGACATTAAATATTCTGCGAGCGTATCTGGCCGAGAAGGATCTACTGATGGATTTTGAGACGCTTGGATAAGCTTATGCTAGCGGGTTTTTTGTCTAAGTTCTAAATTAACATTAATGTGGAAGTGAAGGAAAGCAGACGTCTATTTAAGATAGCATTATTGGATTTATTTCTTTCGGCTTAGGTCAGCCTGATGTAAACCATAATAATATTGGATGGCTTTTTGGGGGGATGCAAGAATACTGTTATAGTCCTTATATCCTCCTTAAAGCCATCCAATATTATATGAATATTCACCTTCAAGCTATCTTGCTCATCATCGTCCTCCCCACCGCCTCCACCATCGCCAAGAATCATAGTCCACTGATTACGCATGGACTGGGCAGCATAAAACTGAAGCTTGAACAAGGAGATTGGCGTGTAGGTCAGGAACAGGGGTAGGCGTCTGTGGATCAGAAAGAAGAAAAACATCAATTTGCGAGTGATGTTGTTATAAAGGTTACTATGGATACTTTACAGAACAAAAGGGTCAAAGTACCACGCGATCATCCGGTTTCCCCGTGATCAGCCGCCATTGCAGTAGGCAAACGTTAGGTTAGTAACCACATTGTGCGTTGTAAACTAGACAGTAGGCGTTATTTTCACGTGAATTAACTGCCAGTTCTTTATCAAATGGCACAGTGGTCACTACCTGTGCTGTGTAGGGTTGTCATAAACGTACTGAACCAGCACTAGGTGTTGGCTCTGCGTTTTTCTCAGTTTTTGCCATCCATCACAGATTTGAAGGCTTGCCTACTACCCTTTTGGTCGCGGTGCTATACCATTTTGCCTACTAAAATGGCGACGCTGACTGTCTGGTACCTGGATGTAGGCCAGGTCACATGGGTCAGTGAGAGAGCCCAATAAATGTCACCATGTTACATAATGGGTCCGAAGTGAACTGTACAAGGGAAGTGCGGTAAACCTTCGGCAAAGCGCACCAGCAAAACAGTTGCTGCAATGTGGCATGTAGTTGAAATTGTGAACATAAACTAACATTTAATTGAGTGTAAAGACTAACATGACATGCATGACACTCTGTTGCGAAAATACTTGATTACAAATTTCCATCTCTACAAAATCAAAGTGAAGAACATTCTTTAACATTCTTTTTTACGTTCATCAAATATGATATTTTTCTTAACAAACCTTGTTTATCTTTCCTCATCATGTAGTAACTTCATCATTGTAATTTTTGAAAACTTGTTCTTAATGCATATCATCTTTTTAATTTTTTTTCTTCAAAATTCCCTTTTTAACGACATTGTAATGTAATCTCTGTATCTTAATTGATGTGAATTTTAATCCTTAATTTTCACCTTTTTTGGTCTTTGTGTAAATCATGTAATTCAGCCTGTGGGCTGGAACATTGATTTTATTCCTAATAAACCATTTTCAATTCAATATCCAGTTCAATTCATCGACGACAAATGCAAGGTGAGAAAGTCTGAACTCTTTGGAGCAGTATAGAGTCTTACGACTACAAGACTTACGGTGTGGTCTCATTGATGGGCATGTAGTCACTGTTGAGATTCCAGTAATCGTTGACGTACACGATGGGATAGTAATCACCAGATACGTGAAACCTTACCACTGATTGAGGACAATGAATAAAAACATATGTTAACATTTTCAATTTTGGGCACAAATTTTGGGAGCGCATGTCACATTATAAAAAAGTATAGTTGTCAGATTCTATGGGAACACATGCATGTATTTCTTTTCTCTGTTTTTTTTCCCAATAACTTTTGGTCATTTCCAGCTTGCTTGAATTGCATAAAAACCTTTATTTTAAATTAATGAATATTCATAGATGAGTCTTCAATTGAGTTAATGTCATTGGTTAATAAGAATGATGATGTCATGGTTCCTGCTGGCCAGGCTCTGTGATTGGTTATTACTTACACTCATCAAGTGGTTGTGGAACACTGCCTCGCTTCCAGGGGGTGTGGTCATCCACAATGTTGATGGTGAGATTGGGATGCCAGTGGGAGACGATCTGAGTTGGGCCTTCCTCTTCAGCCCTCTGGAAAAAGAATGTTGGGGGAAAATAGGGTGAAAGAATAGACTCAGCAGGGTTCCAAATGTCTAGCAATGCAGATGTGAATGCTGCACAAATCCCAGTGTGCATTCCATCACCTATAAAGATTGCTTAACCCTCCAATTATTTGATTGAATAGTACATTTATTTCAATGCTGTCCTTGGATGTTCAGTGTTTACAATAAGTTGAAATACGATATTACAGGTTAAGTTTATTATCAAATTATGACACAAAGGACAACATTTAGGTTTTGGTGACAGACAACGGGACAGACAGGACAAGGGACAACAACAGCATATGAGTGTGCATGCAGGTACCAAGACATAACAATCAGGCATGCAACTGGGAAATTAGGAAAAACAAGGAAATTCCAAACCACACAAGACTTTGTACAGTATTTTTCAATTTGTAATGGCATTCATGAGAAGTAAAAAACGAGGAAATCAGCAGATCCGAGGAAAAGTTGCATGCCTGAACAATACAAAATCAATTAAACATTAAAGTTATAAATATGCATCAAGAAGTTGTTTTTTCAGTTTTTTTGACAAATACAGCCCGTGACGGTGATTTTTTCAAAGATTCACTAAGACTGTTCCAGTAATTTACACCACCTTGAATAAGACTGTTTTTAAACAAGGACGTTCGACTGTAACAAACATGGATATTTTTTCTAGAAGCACTTCGAGTATTGTGTGAATGTATGTTTGATGATAACGTAAAATATGAGCTAAAACAACCAGGTAATGCATTATTCATATACTTATGCATAAATTTACCCAACTTTAAGTAGTAAATGTCTTTAATTCGTAACAGTTTTACATTTGCAAATAAGTTTGATCAGTCACAGACAGTCAAAACGTTCTTCCACTTCCCCTGCCATGCATTTGTATACAGACTAGTAAAAACACAGTCAGATCACATTCGTGAAAACACTGTGTCCAGTCACAGACAAAACAGGTAACTGGTAGGTACAGCTGGCATATCAATCACCTCCAGTCAAAGCATGGCTATATCAAATTAACAAGGGACTTCTTAACAGTCGCTTGATTGATTTTGACTGCTGTGATGGTGTAGCTGAGTTTGCCAACCAGAGAGGGAGAGTTTTAAACAAAGAGAAATGTCCTTTTGTACCTTGATATCTTCCTCACTAGCCTCTGTTGCTCCCGTCAGGAGGTTCTTTGTCTTGGTGAAATGACGCTTCTTGAAACGGTTTAACCCTAAGATCAATTCATGAAGAAATTGGTTACAGATAAGACTCATTTGAATAAATAATGTTTTCCTCCATCAAATATACAATAGCTGCATTTCTAATTAACAGAGAAAACTTGGGGGATATAACATTCCTCTCTCAGGCATATTGCTGAATTCCGATTTGCTATGCTTACCTCTAACATACCTGAATCCATCAAAATCCACACCCCTGTTTTGGAGGATTTCAGCAGATTCAGATACCTCCATATTGAAAAAGTTGGGGGATTTTGATGGATTCAGGACAGTAAGCCTTGCGGTACTGCACGATTTCGATGGACTCAGGATACCTCCATATTGAGCAGTTGGGGGACTTTAATGGATTCAGGATCTCAAAGTTGGGTATATGTGTGTTGTGTACGAGGTATATGTACTACACTGGTGGATGTGCTGATGGGATGCACTGGTAGATACTGATGGACTCAGGACACAAACTTTTTTTTTCACGACAAAATTGGTGGATTTTGGCAGATTCAGGATACTTTCTAGTAAAAGTCTTCAACTTGGGGGTTAGGGTTAAACTTCAAAATCTGTTTCACGTTGAAAAGACTTTCCTTGGAGAAATTGTGAAGGTTTCTGATACTCACGTTTGGATGTGGAGATTGTGTATCTTTTGGCGTACTTTCCTTTCTGTCTTGGATCTGGTGAGTAGCCACTCTTGGTGAAGTAGATGTGAGCGTAGAGGGAACCATTGTTCATGGTTTCCTAGAAAAAAAAGTATACACAACATGTTATCATGATAAAACACAATAACTACATTATCCATAATAAATATATTCATACCAGTTACATTTCAAATGTACTTGGCTTATGGTCTATTGTCTTAACCCTCAATCCTCCGAAATCAACCCGCTGGTTTTGGAGGCTTTTGGAGGATTGTGGAGGATTGAGGCTGTATTCCATTTTTTTACCAATTTTGATGGATGCATTGGGTCAAGGTCTTAAGCTGCACCTTGTGTTATTTATGCTTAGCCATGCATAAATTATGCCTAGATTGTACTAGATATCATCCGCACTGCTTCTGGATATCATTGGAAATTCATCATTGTATTACAATGATTGTTGGAGGATTTTGAAGGATTGAGGCAGTGGACACCCCTCTACTGTAAGAAATAACGGATGATTTCGGAGCAAATTTTTACATAGCGGCAATTGGAGGATTTTGAGGGATTGAAGATGGATCGTAGCCTAGGCGGTTCTGTGCTAACATGATCTATTCCTAAGCATTAGCAACTGCTGATATTGGGCAAAATGCTGATGACCTACTTGGTCCCCCACACAAGTAGGAAACTGTACGACCAGAAAAATGGGAAAAAAGTGCAGAAGAACATGGCAAACAAAATCACTCAGGTCGACTTTGATTTTAATTATTCAAAAGTTAAAGATGAGATCTTGAGTATTTCACCAGCTAAGTTTTAGGTCCTAATTCCCTGAGTTGTCTTCAATCTAGTGATTTTATAAGAAGAAGCAGAAGATAAAATCAACTGGCACAACTATTTTTTTTTTAAAAGGTGGGTCTTCGGGCATCTAGTGACATGATGGTAGCAAGAATAGATTTCTTTTACAGCTATAACTGCAATTATAAGAGTGTTGAGAATTCCAAATTGGAAGACTGGGACATCAGACTAACCTCAGAAACATCTACAAAGTCCGACATTGTGTACGATCCGTCCTCATTGGGTCCGCCGACCCAGTCTCCATACTCCAAGTCTGTCAGCTCCCAGAACAGGTATTGACTCTCGTTGAACTGAGTGAATTGATCCTTGTCGGAGATGTAGATACGAAGATCCTATGGGTGGGCGGAGAAACAGGAGGATGGGAAGGGAAGGGGGGGGGGTGGGAGGGAGCAAGGAAGAGAAGACAAACAGTTAATGATGATGAATCACTTCAGTATACAAAATGCAGTGCCATTCAAACCATTCCATATTCAAAACGTTAGATTGAACCCAGACTTTAGAAATTGTGACGTCAGTTCGTGTAGAAATGTGATCTAAGCTGTTGAGTGGTCAAATTACTGCCATGTTTATGTAACACAACGGGTTACCGGAGACCCGATAGAAGGCGCCCACTGAATGGTCAAAATCTGGAGGTCAAGACGTGGTGTTGTTTTGCATAATTAATCGCCGGATCTGCACAAATACCAACCATAGACCCTTGCGTGCAAGTGGATATTCCAGACTAGCTTGAACTGGAAGTTCCCAGCAAAAAAAAAAAATTGCTGGATGTGTTAGGGTTAAACCTACCATCATCATTCCTGTCTCAAATAGGTTCATGGCCATCTTGCTCGACGAGGCGATACTCTTGCCGTCCTCTGTAGTAACGGCCGTGTCCTCGGTGGGCGTGGAGGATTTACGGAAGAAACTCATGACCATGTAGAAGACAAAGATGCGGAAGGCGATGCCTTTGATGGTTTGCCAGGTGCTCTGTGGGGGCGCAGCCTGCTGCTGGCCTCCTGCCTGTCATTATTAATATTCATATAAAATATTATATTTATCAAACATTAAACTGTGACAACATCTTGGGAAACTGGTGACAGGAATCTCGATTAGTAAACTTGGAAATCCAATGGTGGAGATTAGGAAATCGAGAATATAGCAAATGAGCAATTGGACTTAACTGGGAAAACCTTAATTCATTGCTTACTCTAAAAATGCTTGAAAGTGACTGTTAACAGATTAGAATGTTCCTCAAAAGCAGTGATCAGTTCAGAAAAGTTGCTGATGGCAATCAGCCTCATGCCCCCTAAATAAAAAAAAATGCCAATTTATTCGCATGGCATCAACTGAAAAATGCATTAATTTTTCGTAGCGGCTATCGTTACGGCAGCCAAAACGCGATTTTCAACTGCTATCATTACGGTATTGCAAAATCACCATTGCGAATCTATATTATAACTACCCATCCAACCAGAACGCTTCGGTAGCTCGATTGGTCAAACGCTTGACTACTGATCTCATGCATTTTCAGTGACGCCATGCAGCCGAAGCCATCGTATTCTGTCCGAAATTACAAGATAAGTAGACCTCTGAAGGTACGGAATTAAACATTTTGCTGCTAATTGTTAATTGTTGCATTTCCAATTTTGTTAGAAAACACTTTGAAAATGCACTTGACTCTCCATAGACTCTGTACACTTGCCAAAAAAGTGATGTCTGGATACTATATTCTTTCCATAAACGAAAGAGGTGCCCGTAGCTTCACTAACGACGATTGTGAAGTGGAAAGAATATTGCAACCTGACGCCTCTTCAGCCATGTCAGCGGTTGTGTACAAAGTCTATGGAGAGTCATGGGAGAGTCAAGAACATTTTCTAAGGCCTATTTCCTTACAAAATTGGAACTGTAGTCTGTGTCTCACTTCTCAATCTCAGTCATGTCAGTCCCAGATTCATGTCTTATCATCATTTTTGCAGTGACTGACCTTCATTGAGATGATATATGAAGAAGAAAAAAGCAGCGTCAGATTGCAACATTGTTTCCTGTGAAGTTTAATACGGGTCCCTCTTTCGTTTTAGCATGGAGGAAGGAATTCCTTCCTCCATGGTTTTAGTAGGAATGCGAATGCCGTATGCGATATGCGCGCACACACGCCATGCACGCGAGCATGGCGAGTTTCGCAAGTCATCAACCGCGAACCGGTCAAATTCTCAAACCAGTTTACACCCGATAATCGGCTTCAATTCAACAGAATTACATTTTGTGGAATTTGTCAGGATTAGATGTATCATTTTACCTGTCCATTTTGATTCTCAGCGACTTCAGAGCCGTTTGCCAAAGCCACATCTCTATCACCAGCCGCAGGTTGAGCAGATGTGTTGTCCGCCATGTTGAAGTTAAATGGCAAAGATATGAATATTTAGCAATAACACGACGTCATTTCAAGTTTTGGAAGACCACAAGAGGGCGCTCTAACAACTTAATGGTTTAAAGGGAAGATACAACATTTGCGAACATCAAAAAATGAAATGATCAAGTTATCGTGAAATACCTTACTGAATTGTTAGGGATTGGCAGTCTAAAGCATCCTTTAAAATTGTGGCCCCTGGTGTGCTGACATTTTTAACAAAAACTGTATTCTTCCAACGCTGGTCGGCCGACCAGGGTTGGAAAAAAATGGCTTTTTCAAAAACTGCTCCTATTTTTTCATATTTAGTTATTCCGAATTTTCTTTGCAATTGATTACCCACCTGTGAAGGGGTACAAGCTTGCTAGAGTTATTCTTTGACCTCACAATTCCCACAAAGTCTTTACATTTCTCTGTTTCATCTTAAGTGGGGTCAGGGAACCAGACTACAAGAACATGATTGGTTTTCTTGGTTTTTCCAGCATGGATATGTACAAGCCCAAAATGTAAATCAAGTCAGTTTAACAATGTTTGCTATAACATATACTAAGGCTCCAAATCCATTTATTTCTGAAAATTGCAGAAAAGCAGATGTTGTACATTCCCTTTAAAAAGGAATGTTTCCCCTCCTTGTAGACCGTTTGCACGGTGTGCCATGACAGTGGGCAGGTTTTATTATCTAAATTCAGTTAAGCACAAAGTACCTACTCAAGTGTATCACACAGGAACAAAGAACTCTCCAGTCATGGTGCAAAATTCCAAGGGTCTATTTACACGTGCCGTTTCCGACGAGTAATTTGAAAGAAATTTGAAAAGGATGACCTTACATGACTGTAAAAATGCCCCTTTGGTTCTGAACAAATCATGCACCGAATTAATGAAATGCAAAATAGACCATTCAAATCTGCCTTCACCTAGAGCCCATTCCACATATCCACAATGTATTGATCTTTACAAAATTGTGAGAAAAATAAAATGAAGTCAAAAAAATATTTATCCTAATCTCGTTTCCCAAGTACCAGGACAACTGATCGAGTGATTGACGAATACTATTTTCAACTTTACCATGCAATAGCAAGAAAATCAACTATCGATTGCACAAAAACATTGCGTATACAATTTTGATGCTTTAAAACATTTTCATATCTCATGAACTTGTATCAAGCTGCAGTTTTTTTTTATTTCTGGTTCATGGCCACAACATATTTAGTGCCAATCTATCAGGTTTTCTGGCCTTTTTTGGGGTTAATTCCACACAAATTGGAATTTCCATATTCATGATTAAATTATGTAATAGCAGGCACTCCAGGCAGTATGTGTCAAGATTCAGAACAAAAAGTCTCAGAATATTAGTTTTTGGGGTCAGTTTGCTCATATTTGTTGTACCCACACCCCAACAACCATGGGCAATCTGATCCACACAAGACAGACATGCATTGATTGCACATGTTGTCAAGGTGTTTCATTCTATAAAATCAACAACTTATTATTAATTTCAAATTTACATCATTTTTCCTTTTTCCTTTTCCAAAGTTAGAATAAATAAAATTTCAAATGCATTCTGATATCAAAGCTCATCCAAAATGGATGACCAATGTTTTTTTTTAGCCCCCCCCCCCCCAAAAAAGTCGGTCTCTGGTCAGCGCGCGCGTCGATTTTAATCATGCACGCCGATCTTTTTTTTTCCCAAAATGTTCCGCGGTAGCTCCAACAGCGCCCTCTATTTCCGCACCTCCTCAATTTTTTTTTACCAAAGAGCACCAAGGAATGGGAAATTGCACCAAGGCAAATGATCGAAAGCACCAAGGCAAATTATGGAGGACACCAATGTACATGAGGACACCAAAAAAGCAAAATAGTACCCCACCTTGTCTGTACAATCCAAGCTGGAAAAAAAAAAAAAAGCCAAAAAAAAAAAAAAAAAAAGCCGCGTGGCCGCGTCAATTCCGGAACTTTGGTCTGACCAGAGACCGAATATTTTTTTTTTGTGGCCTTATCCACATGTACTCCATCAACAACAAAGAAGAGAAATCAGAAACATCAATTCAACTTTCTAAAATAATGTGCTTGTTTAATGCCAACAAATGTGAAGAAAACTGGAAATATATACCGGTATAAATGGTTTAAGCTGAATTATGAGATCGACTTTAACTTTAGCTTTAGTATAATTCAAAAGAGTATTGAAATTACACAATGTTTGTGCAACGTGTCTGCAAATTGACTACTCTAAATGTACTACATAGTTTGATTTTTATTGTATGATGCTCAACATTGAACAAAAATCTTCAAATGATCCATATTTCATGTTTTTTTTATAAAGCAAAGAATTACAGAATTTATGTTTTTAATTATCATATGTTTAACCCATAACAAAAGTCACTATGATTGATATAAATTTTTCTCTGAGAAACAAACAATTTAAACTAAAATGTCCAAATCAACGCTTAAAAAATTAACTGGAAACATTTGTTTCATATTAAGAATACAGAATATTAATAATCATTTTTTAATTGATTTTTTCCCATTTTCCATTGAGCACAGTATTATTTACAGTTATGACATTGACTTTTTTTTGCAGATGATAAATAAATATTTTATTGCTGAACTTAACCATGACAACAGCTTACTGGTTAGAATTGTTATCATTATTATTTTTGTACAGGGTAACAGCCCAGTGTTCCATGAGAAAATATGCAATTAATATTGAAATTAATATGATCAAAACAATGACCAAGTTTCTGTCATCGAGGGCCGCTTATTTTCTCATCATTTTTGGAAAGGGGAATAATTTAACCTTTTTCTTTGCAATGGTTTTACAAGAACCAAAAGTAGTAAGGGCAGAGTCAGCTGAACCCTATTGGCGGAGCTGTTAGTGCGTTTTGGGACAAGGACAAATGTAACCATATTAATTTAAGTTTGATGTCCCTTGTGATGCTGGTGAAATCAACAACCCTCTCTGACCAATGCAGATATGTATTTAATGCACACAATAAATTACTGTTTTACTTTACGTTCAAGTAAAATAAAATGCACCTTCTTCACAATATTTTAATTTTTTATTTATGTAATTCGTTTGTACACATTACCAAATTTTACCCAATCAATTCATTGGTCTTGCCTTGTTTGGTAATCAAGTTCTATACAACGTTGTCTTCCGTCACCAAAATGTACAACTCACATGCCCGTATTTACACAGAAGATTTTCAGAAATGTTTTAACACTATTCCAATTGAAGTTATTCACTGAAAGAAAACATTTCGTTGAAAAAATTGAAGGTCTAACATGCAAACGGGTGCTGATAAGTAATGAAGAATATAACAGTAATGAACAAATTGTTTTAATTGGAAGAAAGTAAATGCTTAAGATATGTACATGTTTACATTATCAATATACAATATGAAATAATTATGACTGGGTTCCTACCATGAAGCCAGTGAAGTCACTCTCTAGTTTATTTCATGAAAGATATAGTGCTCTAAAAACTAACGTTCATCAAAGCGATTTTTTTTTTATTATTGCAAGTCATGCCAAATATAGGTGATCGTGACTCGTTTAAATCCCCCACTATCCTTAATATCATAGTTGGCTACCTACGGATTCAGAATTACAAATGAAAAGCATTCACGTCATGCAAAGCATATCTCTAACTTTGTTTGCACTTTCAGTAGGACTTGATGTATTACTGTGTGAAAAAAAGAAGCTTTATTGGAAAATCTTGGAATGCGAAGTACTTTATTTAACCAATCAGCTAGAAGGTGTTAACACTCTGGTTGACTAGTGAGGAATGTTTGCCTTATGGTACATGTATCAGCTATTCATTAATAATAAGCCAGTTGGGTATTTCAACTGCGCATGCGCACAATGCTATGGGTTACGGGTCATTTAGGATAATCAAACGCTTATCGAAGGTGCATGAACGTGAAAGGAGACAGTCGCGCGACGCTTGCGCGTAAATTACTAGCAGAATAGGCATTTACGAAACATCTCGTCAGCAATTTTATCCCGAATGACCTTACTTCATCGAGATACCGAACTGACATACTGCCATGCTCAAAATCCTGTTATACTAAACGGGCAGTATTGAACTAGAGTCCTTTTCTGAGTCCAATATGTATACAAAATAAATGCAAATACAGTAGAAACTTAAAACTCAATTAACTGGACAGAGTGGTCCGAGTATTTGGGCTTCCAATTACAAGTAGGAGTCTGAACATTTGGACTAAAATGTACACTAAAAATTTCCAAGAAATTTGCAAAAGGACTCAGACTCCGAATCCAGTTGTTGTACCTTTTCCCCTGTATCTGTGTTAGCTGTGTGTCCAAACGCTCATTTCTCAAACAGCACAGCCTCAGTGCTTAGACTCAATTTCCGCTTTGCAACCTGTGATTTTAGTATATTTTGGGGGCTTAGAAAAGGCCTTGAATACAACACAACAAAGAAGGGTTCATCATCATCAGCATCCCCATCATCAACTTCCCAATCATCATCACATCTAAAACCCCGCCAGCACTTTCTCTAGTAATCTTGCATAGACAGCAGTCTAGTGTACAACATTTGTATAAACTTTTCACCCACATAAGCAGTATCCTACAAATTCGAACAAAACAAATTGTAGAAAAAGAGTTGACAGATTAAAATTCTTAGCAACGATAAGATTTTGAAATCCATAACTTAGTATGGGTATGATCTTTCTGCTAATTCTTTTCTTCCATAGAATATATTTATATATATTTTACAGCTTCTCTTGGCAACCCAAAAGGCCACACTTTACGTCCAGCGTGGGCGAGTTGATTCGTTTACTTGTTCCTTAAGATGTTCTTGGCCCTCTTGTCGGCTTGTGAGATTCTCTCCTCGTTTGATTCCGCCTGGAGAACAACATTGGTTAGTAACAAAACAGAATAATTAACTCAGGCATTGAATGGTTGATAGAAATTGCTCATTGTTACTTTCTGGACAAAAGTTTAAGGCAAAAGCCTGAACCAGGACTTCTGCACAAAGTCAACATAACTTGAAGAGTAAGGCCAGACTATCACATACAGTACAGCACTGCAGTTTGTGAAACATTTTTTCCCCACTTGCTGCTTTGGTTAAGAACCAGAAATTGGAGCAGGCATCACTTTATTGTCTTATGGGCAGAATTTACTATGACACCCTGCCTTAGTTTTCTTTGCCGTAAACAAAAAACTGACCAAGAGGGGACTATAATGGTATGTGAACATGAATTCGTCATTTTTGGGTGTTGTGTTTTTGGAGGACTGTGTACAAAATTGTACATGGCAAATGGATAATCTAAAACCAGTGTACTTTGACAAATTCTCACCTTTGTTACACCGATGCAGAAATGTTATGGACAGACAATAAAGACAACCCATGGCCAACAAAATGACAAAGTTTTCACGAACAGGAGATATTGTACGACATACAAAAAAGACAACATGGCAAACCAATGGAACAAACAGTACAAACTCCAGATTTGTTAAAGATGACTTTTAGTTCCGATAGAAACACCATCATGATGACATGGTATTTAACAATTTGGTTTTAAGAACATATTACAGAACACACAAACATTAACATCGCAGTATGTTAAAACATTAACATCACAGTTATGTTGAACATTAACATCACAGCATGTTGAAGGCAATATGAAAATCAAACTAAAACCGTCAAACTCAAACAAATGCACGGTCCACAACTCATAAAAACACACTCAGTTTGGATGACGCAATTGCCACAGGTAGCAATGACAATGGGTAATACTCTACAATGGGAGACTTTTGAGACGTTTGGTGCCAGCAAACACACCGGTCCTTTTCAATTGTCTACATGTAAGTCGTGTTTAAGGTGGTAAATTCTGTGCATGTTCAAAATGATGTCAACAATAGAAAACAAGGACAGGTGTGTTTGCTGTTAAGTGTCTCAAAAGTCTCCCATTTTCATTATACAGAAGTTTTAATGGATGTAATTTGAAAAAAAACCCTCCAAAAAAATTAACTGCTTAATGTGATTTGTTTTACTCATGAAAAGAACATGGCAAAATGGCATGATTTTGCGCAATATGATCATGCATGATATTCTGCTCATTGGATTGCCGCATGCATAGACAATGGAAGTTTGGATTTCTTAGGATTTTTTTTGTTGATGAGGTAAAAGTAAGCAAACTTTTATTCCTAAATCCACTTTAGGCTTGGAAGTTACTTCATTAATGATGATTTGTGGTAGCTTTGTTCAAGAATGTCAGAAAACCCATAGCATTATATTCCATTAATATCAAATAGAACCAGATATTGGATTTATGAAGATGTGGTTGGATGTTGAACACAACTGCTTAAATTTTAAATGAAATATCAGAACTGTTTTATGTCCACTAAAGCAGTTGTGATTCTAAAAGTCAGACTTGGATTTCAACTTATTCAAACAACATAACTGTACAGATACCAAACCAAATAACATAACAGAAACATAATGAACATTGAAACACCCTTTTTCAGAAACTCTGAATCCAAAATAAAAAATCGTTTGCAAGATAACTTTGAAGTAGAGCTGCTTTTAATATTGACATACACTCAATGAAATGTAGCAATTGTCAAATTGAAGAACGTTGGAAATGTGTGGAAATACTAGTCTCGAGATTTACAATGAATCACAAAATTGTAGCTAATACACAATCTAGGGAAACACTTTGAATTTATAACTCAAAATTAATTACCCATTTGTTTTGTTTTCAGAAATGTTTTTTTTGATTCAGTTGAATTAGTTTTCATTCTTGGATTCAGTAGAAAAACTGATTTTGTTTTAGTTTTCCTGTCTTTCTTGTTTTAATTTTTTTTTATTATATTGTCTAAAAAAAAAAACCCATCAGAATTAGCCGCTGTCTTTTTTAAAACAGAACAATTGTGTCAAAAGCCATAAACATCCAAAGGGAAATAAATTCACCCCCAATAGACAAGTTACATTTCCTTCCCAAAATGGCTAAAATTCAAAGATTTTTTTCTAGATACAATGTGAAATAACTATTCATAATATCGTTTCATGTGAATATAATATATTAAAATCTTATGGCAAAAGTAATATCATACAAGATTAAACATAAAAATGGAAATGTTACAACCACAGCTAGACTTTTGTAAATAACTCTTTTAAATCTCTCCAACATTACTTTTAAAATGTACAGCTGTAATATGTATACTATTTATAATTTGAAGAAAATGCTTAAAAGTTATTACGGTAAGGTACTTCAGTACTTCGACAGATAGGAATGCATTGAAATGTCTACAATCGCAGAAGATCAGCAACTTCCTCGAAACTACAACTAGAAAATACAAGTTTACAAAGAATTTCAAATATTTCTTTTTAAATAGTAAATAGAGAGGGTACTAAGAAAAAGCTGAGTGTTCTGTTTTTGTTACTATTCGTGGTCATGTCTTAACGTTAACAATTATGCAGACCACCCTGTAGGGGTATGTCACCAATTTTATTGCTCAAGTTCCAGACTTTAAGGTGATTTTGTGATACAATACTTGTTTTTTTTTCCAAACAATTTTTGCCACAAAAAGGATTTAATTACAATCTGTAATTCAATCTGAAAAGGACCACTGCATGTACCAAAACGAAACAAACATCTTTCTGCAATTTTAAGCTATTATATTATACTACTGCATATTTGTATTTATAGGAGGAAACACATATTGCACATTTAAAAACTTTTTGTTAAATAAGCAATTTGATGAATATTACGAGAATTCATATTTCCCACAGATAATGCAGGTTAATGTTGTGGAACTAAATAATAATAAAAAAATGGAACTACATGTACTTTGACATCTGCATTCAGGGGTCAATGTCACGGCACTGCTTAATAGTTAGCAGAAAAGTTGTGGTAACTATAAGCTGTTAATTGTGCTAACGTTAAGCACTATTTCATGGCACGAAAGTGCTGATGGTCACATGCGCATGGAGATTTCTATTGTTTTGCCACTGATTAAGCAATTTTCTCCCTTTGAGGTAAGCATGCCTTTTGCTGTGCTGCGCTTACTGGTTACGGTCTCCATGGCATGAAATAGATGGAGGCTCTGTTAGCAGAAAATTGTGTGCTTAGCAGCACTATGAAATATGACAGAGTGCTAAAATTTGTAACATAGGCTTGGTGAAGAGAAAATAGGACTTTGTATTCAAGGAATGTCAGAAATAGTCTAGGTGGTTATAAATTTGTCAAAAAGGATATCTTGGAATGTATTTAATGTAGTTGATACATGTATAGCTTTTATCATAACGATATCAATTTTGAATGATTAAATGACAGAATATTTCTATGGATCAATGAGCCTCTGTACTGATGACTTCACACTTTGTTTACGTGTGTGCTTTCCTATGGTGGACCGTGGGCCCCTCTGGCTCCATAGGAAAGTGCACATGTAAACAAAGTGTGACGTCATCAGTACAGAGGCTTATTCTGATGGCATACATGTATATGTTGAAATTACATAATGCTTCACACCTTTATCAAAGGATGTAACCAAGAAATAATCAATTTTTTTGGGCAAAGCTTGAGCGTACATGCTGAAGTAACGGATCAATGTTAGTAACTGAGGGGATATCAATGGATGAGTGCTTTGAATTTATCAGGCAGAAAGGTTACGAGCTCATGGTGTTAGTTTAGCTAATGTAGCCATAATACATGGTCCTTTTGCAGCTGTGTTGTTAAAATCAAACCTGTCATTTGTCTTGGACTGTCTATTTTTAAATTTTATAAAAACATCTTACATGGAGACTTCTGAGTTACCCTGCCTCCTGTTAAAACTCCCCTGCGGAGTATTTAGGAGAAGAACCAACCAAGTAACCAAGTATGCCCATGTAAGAATTTGACTTGAGCTAGCAGATCCAGGATGTTTTAGGGGGTGGGGATGGGGGATGGGGTGGGGTGGGGTGGGGTGGGGTGGGGGATGGGGGTGGGGATGGGAGGGGGATGGGAGGGGTTGGTTGTAGTGTAAACGTCAGAACATACTGAAAACAAAGGCCTTAAGCAGTCAACTGAGATGATCTGCAATATTGTACGACATTAAAGGAAAAGGAAATTTGAGATTTTTAGCCAGTGATTTGATAAAAAAAAATGATACTGGTCACAAGGAAGAGTGGGATGTTAAGGACTGGATAAGATCATTGGAAAACAATTCAAAAAAGTTATTTTCTGTCATTTTCCTGTTTCCATATTTTTAAAGAAAAGGCATCTCTTGATTCTCCATGTGGGGCAAGTTCATGCATGAAAAAGACTAAGCTCAAAATGGATTTCTCCTAACCACTAGCACAATAAGACTGCCCGAACCACCATTGGTGACAAATTGTACATTGTCCCTCACATTTATCAATGACTGCAGTTCTTGGCTTGCTTATCAGTCTTTGCCATTTTCCACTACTATTTTCATGTTTAATGATAATGTAACACAGACACTGACAGATAGTGATGCAACAGTGCCCTAGGGTCCGGTTCCAAATAGTCAACTAGAGTAAACTGAGTAGTCCAAACATCACAGGCTCCAGTAAAGTTAATTGAACTATGGTTAACCGAGCTCAAACTGACTCTGGGTTTGAAATTTCAGAAGCACGTCGCCTACATCTACTGAACTGAATGAACATACGATGCTTGTTGCCATGGAAATAATATGACCAGCCGTTTGTAGTCATGTGTGCTCATGCATACTAATTTCAATGGTGCTTTTTTTCTGATTTTTATGGACGTGCTGTTTCCTGAAATGTTTGATGATGGGGTCGTGTAGGGGACATACTTGAGTACAGGGAAAGGAAATAAATGCGGACTGTGTGTCTTGGAAATTTAATATCCTTGTTTGAATCTGCCAACGGCAGCAAG